AAAAAAGGGTCACAGAGCCTGTCAAATTTTGTAATTTATTAAAAATGCACAATATAATGTCTATATTCATACTTCCGTAATGGGAACGGTTTTAATCATTAAAGTCCGACAGACTAGGTGTGGAATAAAGAAGGGGATGTTTTTTTTTAAATTAGAAACTGACATGATGTTACATGTATGTTGTTGACGTTACAATCTTCTGAAAGAGTGCTCCGTGGTGACAAAACATACTGATCTCAAAATTATGTCACGCGTTCCATTTGATCAAATAGATTGAATTGCAAACATTGGAGAGAAAAAACTAGAAATATGTCCATAGGACATAAATGCCCCGCCGAGGGTATATCAGTAATGCAACATAAAAATTTGTTTTAATGTATGAAAGAGCTAGAGCCACGAACCATCAAAATGTGCCTTAAATTTTAGACAAAATTTAAGTTTGAAACCACTAAGCCTGTCATATGTTATATTGTAGTGCACAATGTCATGCTACTCTACATACAATTTTTGGCCACACAGACCACCGTCTTTAGCACATGCGCAGCATCAAATATACAAATGAAGTTAAAAACTGCTAAAAAAAAAAAACGTCGATTTTATGGTAGTTATTTCAAAATTTGAATGTGGCCACACTCAAGTGCCGATTCCAAACTTTGCAGAGAGAAAAATATTACATATATGCATTTTTAAGCAAATATCTTAGAGGTACTCGAGTGTGGCCAATATGAATTTTACATTTTATGAACGATGAGCTATCAGAAAATGAAGCAAGGTCCTCCATTTTAACAGTAGTTATGAGTTCATTATATACGTAAATAGCTTAAATCAGTTATTAGTATATGAGATTTATTCTTGATAACTACATTATCCCTAATTTGTCAATTATTTTGTTTTAGAATATCTTAAACTCACATTTAACATGTGTTGTTTCATATAAAATTTAAAATTACGTTCTTTTCCTTCATGCTTACGTACATCAATGATGACGTCATAATTTGACGTTTTTGACGTCGACTGCATCTCATAGATAATTTGAAGAAGTTTGTCAAAATAATTTCAAAATAGATAATTGAAAAGTGTCGAAATCCAGTTTCCGATTTTTTGCCAGTACTACATGTTGAACGTAAAATTTATTTTCAGATTTATTATATTAATAAAAATACAAATGCCTAATTCAAAGGTTATTATCTAAAATACATACAATACGCAAAAATTATGCGCGTTTTAGATATACATGAAGCGGAAATAGTTTGACTTGTTCACACACTGACATTTTATATGAAGAAATTATACGGTTAATTGTGTTCTCGATCCAATTATCAATAATTTTATTTAGCTAACAGCTTACATATCATATACCCGTTTAAAAAATAAAACGACTTAGAATTTTTTGACGACCACAAAAAGGGAAAAAAGAAAAAAAATTCCAATGCGCGGAAAGGGGGGGGGGTTGTTTTGACAATAAAAAAAAAATCCCTGAAAGGGGGTGCGGGTGTAAGACATTTGTCTTGAACAAGCCTCTAAACAGACTCTTCTTACCAATTTACAGGGGTCCCTGTTTCTTGTGTGCATGTGTGGAGGAGTGTTTTCAAGGACATCTATCGGTCATTTTATTATATAGATCTAATAACTCTGAAATTGAATAACTCCGGAACATCCCCCCCCCCCTCCCCTATAGATCCGCGCATACGTATATGCATCATTTTGTATCTATAGAAAAGTGTCCGACCCAATGTCAAATGTATCCGAAATTCTATTACATCTGAATGCATTTTGAGGTACAATACCGAGGTGATCCAAATAAACTGAAAAAAGGTGTCCGACTTACGATTTGCACACATAGGATATATAAGATAGTAATGCCTTTCCAATACATATTTTGGACCCGCATTTACTATTAGATGGTTTGCCTACATGTACCGGCTTTCTAAATCACATCTAGGGTGATCAGACATAGCATGGATCGGACGGCTTTAACAAATTAGATCATTAAGGTAAAAAATTAGATTCAAAGGATTATTAGTTTAGTTAGAAGGGAATTCCTACGGAAGTGATGTAAAAATGTTACTTAAGGGGGTGACAATTAAACAGAAAGAATAAAGCTTTTGAAATATGAATAGTCCAGGACATACTTTATTTGTCAATCTATATTATATACTACCTATTTTAATACTACAATAAACGTGAAATTGGGACAATTATTTTGTTAGAAAAGGCCCTTCACTTAAGACTGGTAGTTTAGCTGGTTAAGCTTCAATTATTTAAATAAAATGTGGCAAGGTGGTAATTTTGACGGAATGGAGGAGTATGGGGAGAAGAGCAGCGATGAAAAAGTTTATTTAATCTAATAAAAAAGTAGAGGAAGGTCTCCAAACATAATTTGACCCTGCCCCTTTCCCGGGTACTACTCTTCTGAATGTGCATCTTTTCTTTGTGCGATTTTAAATGATGATATTTTTATAAACACATGAAACACAGAAACAATCATTTACTGATGTAAATACTTGAAATGTTCAACAATATAACAAAGAATAAACATACGTACTGTTTCCTATGCAGTACATTCTCATGTATACGTTTCGAAATTAAAATGCATGTGTAACGTGGTTCCGCTACGATACCCCCCCCCCCCCCCCCCGGACCAAAAAAAAAACAAAAAAAACCACAAATGGAAGCGATAATAAATTAAAAACTAAACATGATTCTGCTTTTAGGGCAAGATACATGTCTGATAGGAAAAAAAAAAACTTAATTCAAATACGTGTATTTAGGGGAGGGGGTCAAGAATTTTTTGTTGTCTAATATCGATAATTATTGTACATGAAACTTTATGTAAATGTTTATATGAATCAACAATTATAAGACATACCATTTATTTACAGTTTATAAATAATAGTACGTTATAATTAAATTTCATTCAACATTCATCATATTTACTTTTAAAAGGGAGGTCATGTTGAAAACTATGTGAATTGGGTTTTATGTTAGAAACACAGGCACTTGTTTCGGTAATAAATTTTTGACCTGTAGTATAATATAATAGCACTTGTTTCGGTAATAATGACTTGTTTTGGTATGTGCTAATCCCGGGCAGAGATTTTGATCGGCTAAAAATCTGCTTCTAAAATTACATCGCATAAACATCGTAATGTTTTCAGGGAAAATCAGACTTAAACAAATTCTTTTTATTCACTGCAATATTTAAACACTGGAATTGAATTATTAAACCCAGTCATTTTTTAATTTTGTTCTCTGTCCGGGATTAGCACATACCATTTCATGGGTTAAATCGACTTTTCCACTCGGCGAGCAGAGATTTGACGCTCACATGCTCGCTACGAAAAGGATTTGACAATTACCATACTGGACACCACTTTCTATTGAAAATATGTATTTGTATTTATATTTCTATCCAGTTCAGATGAAGCTTTCAAGAATTTATTTTTGATATCAGAAAATAATGTAGATTATAGCATTTATAAGTTATACGTCTATAGTATAAGATACTTTAATACTAAACAAAAGGACTATTGCAATACTCATGTGTACAAAGATAGCAGATACTGTAGAACGCTCCTTCGTCAAATGATTCCCAGTCTCGGGGATACAGATTACATGTATGCTTCAATGTACTATAGGATATAATGCAATCGGTTTACACTCGCGCAGAGTTATTGCATAAACTGCAATATGAAATCAACACCTTTGTTTGTTCGTTTGTTTTTTAATATATTGGTAAAATGATTATGATGCTTATTAGATACTTCTCTATTCCAATTTAAGTTTTTAAATGTGTTCATATAATTGCAATCATGGATTTTTTACGACGTTACGATGTAACATAATGACGTTACGTTACAAATAATGACGTTCCTCACGCAAATTTCAATCAAAACAATACCATAATGTAAAATCTCTTCTTGAAAAAGCATAATAGATATCTAAAAAAGAAAAACAGTAATGAAAAGCTAGAAGTCTCTACTATCTATATTGAAATCCTCGTTCATTTTTGAGTTAAGGCACATTTTGATGGTTCGTGGCTCTAGCTCTTTGATGAGAATATCTTGAATAAATTCTTAAAAATTGAAATTGAAATCTAAAAAGTTGGAAATAGATGATAAATTCTCACCAAATTATGTACAAGTGCATAAGCTTACATAAATATATATTAAATGGTTTCTTTAAAATTAAGCAAAATGCAAATTTAAGAAAAGTGAGGTCAAGGTCACAGGAAAGTTCAACCGTTTTTGATGCAGTTGAATAGTTCTCACAAATACGTATCAGGATATTAAGTTTAATAAAAATATTTTGAATGGTTTATTTAAACTGAGCTTAACACTAATTTACAATAAATGAAGTTAAGGTCAAAGGAAAGATAAAAAAATGTTGATGCAGTTGAAAGGTTACATCAGTATGTATTAGCATATGAAATTTAACACTAATTTAAGAAAAGTGAGGTCAAGGTCAAAGGAAAGGTCAAGGTCAAAAAATATTGATGCAGTTGAATAGATTACACCAGTATGTATCAGCATATGAAGTTTGACACTAATTTAAGAAAAGTGAGGTCAAGGTCAAAGGAAAGGTAAAAAAAATGTTGATGCAGTTGAATAGCTTTCATCAGTATGTTAATGTTTACATTTCACTGGGTGTGTTCAACTTGTTAAACTCTGCACACATTATTGAGCACCGACTGGCAAAACTAGTGAGTTGGTTTTGCTTTCTCACTTTTCTACTCTGAATTTTCTGGATAATAGTTTTAATATTTTTCATTAATAAACAACAAAATTTCTACTTTTCTTCAGTATTAAGTTTCCTTTGTGAAAGTGCAAGGATGTGTCAATCAAACGCGTCCATAATTCGTAGTTTTAATAATTTCCAGATAAAAGAAGTTTCTGAACACGCATTTATTATATTTTCGTGTGAAATGATACAGCAATATATGTCATGATATTATTCAGAAAAATTGAAAAAAAAAATACTAACTTCAAATCTCTGTCCAGGCCCTTTATTCTTAGAAATTATATATTCAGTAGAAATCATAGGTCAATTTTATAATCCAATGCAAGACTAAAGAATGTAAACTGAGACACACAAACATCAGCCATTCGTCTTTCGTGCAGGTAAATCTTGTTAATACTTTGAATCAAATTTACTACTCACAAGGAAGCACAAAGATACAGTATCCAAATTAAGTTTGGTTGTGTTCACGCCTTTTTTATCCACAACCTGAAACTATGCAAAACTCTTGAAATTTTCAATGAAAATTTACTCTCTTAACATGTTTAAACTACAATAAACATATTCTATATTCAGATTTTAAACAATGTTTAATATTATTCATATTGCACAATAAAATGTTCATATACATACTGTAAATTTCTAGGATGAATCACCAGCAAGTTATAATTTTATTCATAGTCAAAAAACTGCCAAAGGTATTATATAAGGCACTTGTATGACAGCCCTTTATCATTTTATATCAGGGACCAAGATTTTTAATCATTTACTGGTAAAATAATTGCTGTAATAACTACCACTCCTACTTAGAAAACTGAAATAAATTTCTAGGATGAATCACCAGTAAGTTATAATCTTATTCATAGTCAAAAAACTGCCACAGGTACTATATAAGGCACTTGTATGACAGCCCTTTATCATTTTATATCAGGGACCAAGATATAAACTGTTTTAAGTTTATCAAGGAACATTCCACTTTATATCACTGCTAAAAAAATTTAATTCTACAATGTATGTGCTTAAGTCCTTCTTGATCGAAGGCTACGAGAACTATTAACATCAGGGGAAGAGTACCTCTGAATCTGAGGAGATAAATTCGGGATATCTGATGATCTCCCACCATAAGATTTGATGATTCTTTTGCTTCCCTGGGGTGAAAGATAAGGCATGGAGTCAACGTCATCAATACATTCAGATCCATCTCCACAAAGTTCTCTGTCACTGTTACGTTTTGACTTTCGTCCACTCATATTTGAAAATTTACTTGGAAAATGTCTATTTGGAAAACTATCAATTTCAGAATCACTCTTGGTTAACGATTCCTTTCTTTCAGAACTCCTCAATTTTTTTCTCTTTACCACTTTTTTCTTTTTTTCTTGAATCAAAGATCCTGTTTCTCTGTCCTCTTTTACAGGTAATCCATAATCGAGAGACTTCCCTGATTTATGTTCAATGGATTTATTTTTTATTACTTTAGACTTGCGCTTATTTGGACTGGAAAAATTAAACTGAATATCTTCATCAACCTGTGCAGACACATCATTAATCATAAAACTCTGAAACTCTTCTTCTTCTTCCACTTTCCTTCTCTTCCTTAGTCTGTGAAGCTGATTTTCTGTATAACCTTCAGGAATGGATTCAAGTCTTCTTCTTCTTCTCCTCGGAGAACACAATGATGCTGCTTCAGCCTTGAGTAAAGTAATATTCTTCCTAGGAGACTTCTTTCTACTAGACAATTGAGTATCTATAAAATCCACAAATCCAGTGTCCCACGAGGAATCGGATCTCTTGCCTGGGGAAGAAAGTATTTCTGGTAACATACCAACTCCATCATCTTCTCTGTTTCCTTCAACATCTTCTTGCTCCAGATCCCACTCACGGTCTGAATTTTCATCAAATTCAACTTCATTTATTTCTACAAAAGATGCATCACTACAAAGGGAGCTGTGACCAGTTAAATCTCCTTCCTCAAACCCTTCAAAATTAGACTCCGAGTCACTCTCATGTAGAAGTTTATTGACACTACGGTCACTCAACACAGACCAGCTTTTGTTGAGCTTGATTCTTTTTTTCCTTCCCTTTGGGGTACTGCCCTTTGCATTTCTCCACACCAAAGGTGTTGACACTCGTCGGGGAGACACACATTTTTTCTCAACTGAGGTTTGTTTCAATGGAGATTTGAATTTATTGTCCTTCAAAGGTGATTTTAAATTGTCTTTCAGTGTTTCTTTCACAGTAATAAGCTTGTCTGACTGCTCCTTTTTAAAATTCAGAAATTTTTTTGAGGTAGTATTATCAACCAGTTTATTTTTAGCACCAGAAGTAAGCTGGATATCTTTGATTGCATTATCTGTGTTGGTTACCTTCTCACAGCTTTTCCCATTAGCAGTAGGATATTTCAACTTTTCCAATCTTTTCACTTTACAAGCATTGGAAGTTGTGTCATTATTCTTGGATTCTCTTCTTTTATTCCATCTTTTCCTTTTATTTGACCTTGGTGTATTGCTCAGACCACTCTTTGGACTTGACACAACTGGAGTTGTCTGATTCACATTTTCAGACAATGAAAAGATTCTCTTATTTGGAGTTTGCAATCCAGCAAGACTTGGAGATGATTTAAACAAAGGTGAGGCAGCGATGCAGTTATCTCTGATCCTTTCCCCAGGTACAGGACTGTTTGGACGCGAATTTCTTTCCTGCACTTTAACAGATATATCTTGCAGCTCACGGTCCACAGAATTCTGCCTCTGATCAGTCGACCTTAAACGGTGAACTCTATCTATATAATACAAAGACTTTTCCACCTGTGCATCAAACACCTTCTCTTCTTCAAAAGTTTCTTGCAAATTTTCAGATTGACCTACGACACCTTCTTTCCCTGGTTTAAAATCATAACAAGTTTTAAAGGTTTTAACTGTAAGTGTTGTCTCTTTTTCATTTAAAGACTGAAGTCTTTCACTTGTTAATGGTGCCGAAAGATTAGCATTTTTTATTGCTATTTTTTTGTTTATAACAGATGGACTATCACTGGTTTGTTGTTGATGAACTTTCACTGATCCTTCTGTTTTTTCAACTTCATATTGACTTGTATCATCAGGATATTCAGTCATCAGATATTTCCTTGACCTCAAGCTTCTCTGCTTCTGTGGTGAGATATCCTTGTGTGCAGCATCTAGATTTCTAGTCCTACTCTTTTTATCATTTTGCACAGTTGAAATAGAAGGTTCATAATTCCCAGTTTCTTCTTCTGATGCAGTGTTTAACACCTTTTCCTCTATATCATTTATCTCTCTATGTGACTCCAATTTTTTTGCCGATTCTTTTCCTGACATTCTTTTATCTGAGTCAAGATTAATTAGATCACTTTCCTTTTGTGCAAGTTCTGAATCATGACTCCCATGTGAACGCTTCGATTTCCTAGGCAGTCTGAGAATTTCTGACAATTTTTCCTTTGTAAAACGTTCACTTTCATTATAGTCTGTATTATCATAAGTTTTAGAGCTTCTCAATGTTTTAGGAGACTTGATAACTGTAGACACAAAATCAACAAATGTGTTCTCCATCTGACTTGTGATCACCTCTCTTAGAATATCCACTGAAGTCTCCAATTCTCCATAATTACATGAATGACAAGAACAATTATCTGGTTCCCCCACATTTTCGATTCTATACTGCACACCACTGGCATTTTTATTGTTTACATCACTTGGTCTATTAACAACCCCATCACCTCCTGAACTATCATCACAACTGACAATTTCAACATCTTCATGGTCTTCCTCATCAAATTCAACATTTGTCACTTTTGAGGAAGAACTCTTTCCTGAACATTTCTTGAACTTGCATCTAGCCCTTGCATCACCCAGTCCCTGTTTTTCCTCACATTTTTCTTGGGAACCTGCGGACTGACTAGTTTTTAAGTGTTCAGCACGACCCCTCTTTTTCTCATTACCTGCTTCTGCCTTCTGCGTGTCAACTTTAGTTGATTTACTGTCTTTAATATCATTTTTCATTGGATTCATTGTTTCTTCCCTTTCTTTTTTACTTTCCACTCCTTTGGCCTGTGTGTCTTTCTTGCTTTCAGCAGTTTCTTTATTTGGGAGAGTTGCCATCTTTGGAGATCGAAGCCTTCTTTTGAGAATGCATTCTTCTACATTGTGTTTTGTTTCTGTTGTTAACTTCCTTGCTGATTGTTCTGAAGTTACAGCCTGATTAGAATTCCCCTCACAAACAACATTTGAAGAATCAACCTCCTCTCTAGATTCTCTACCTTGTCGTGGTTGTTTTTTGGGAGATTTTAATGTCTTTTCACAATCTTCAATATCTTCATTAATACAAGGTGATTGTAACTGTTTATCTTTGTTCCTTCTATTATTAATTTTGTACTCTTGGGTCTGAATTTTACTGCCTTCTTGAAGAGCTTTGGAACATGTCGTTGTTTTTGGACTGTTTTTATTACCTGTGATCAAATCTTTCATAACTGCAGAATGATTCTGTTCATTTCTTCTGCTAATTACAACAGAACAATCTATTACTTTATTACTACCAATTTCGCCCTGATTATCTGTTCTTATATCGCTTTTTCCTATGCCAGTTCTGTCACTATGTTGACTTGATGTTCCTTGAACAAAGAGGAAATTTCTTGTCCTTGTTGGCACGTAATGTTTATCAAGCTGCAAGTCTATTTCTGCACTCCTTCGAACTTCTTTGCGCTGGCGAATATCTTGTTCTATGCTGTCTTTCAGTAATATGGTCTGTTCATGTTCACTTGCATTCTGCCAGACTTTTCTAGGGCTTTGTCTCCTTCTTCTTTTAACTTCAGAGTTCACAATTTTAAGGGTTGTTTTACTGGAAGTGTTTTTCATGACTTTTTGGACAGGCACTGCTGTTGCTCCTTCCTTAAAGGATTTTCCTCCTTCACTGCAAAGGTAATTAAAAACTGTAAATTTGCTGTAAACATTGGGCTAATAAGAATACATAAACAACATCTGAATTACAATGAAACATGAAGCTTTGAGATTTTTAATTTTTGTCATAAGGAATGAATTAACCATAGTTTTTAATTTGACTTTCATTGAAACTTAAGCTCCACCCACCAGTTATACAAAGACTGAGAAACCAACCATGAAAATGAGGATTGCGGACCACAGCACTCACCAGGGATGGGGTAATCGTAATCGAGTAATCGTAATCAATTGTAATGATTACTTTTTTCAAGTAATCGACAGTAATCTGTAATCGAAGAGATTTTCGATTCCTTGTAATCGTAATTTAATCGATTACAGCTAAAATTTTCAATGTAATTATAATTACTTTTTCAATTACTTTCGATTATTTTATGCATAAATGGATGTTATATTGGAGAATTAATTCCTGTCATTCACACACAAATATCAAATATAAACAACCTAGTGTAATGTTTGGATTACCTAACTTTTATTATCATAAGTTTAATAATGTTCTCAATAAAATTTGCATTATAGACCTACTGGTCTAGTATTAAATAATTCAGAAGTGTATTTCAACTATTTATTATTAAAATATATAGATTTTTTGTATGCATTTTACATTTGACCCATAGTCCTCTTGCTGCATGTCCTTTTTCATATTTCAAATATTGAAAAACTTTGCGGTTGCAATAGAAAATTATAAATAGCAAAAACAGATTTAAGTGCTGTATTAAATATAAATGATTTGGTAAATAAACTACATTGTACTCGAAAAAAAGAAGATGGAAATACTTATTCATATCTGAAAATGTTTAAACAACTTCAAACTTGTTGTTTAAGTAACTTTAAAATTTGCAAAATCATTCTTATGTTTTCATTCAAAATTGTAAGATTTCTTTTGTATCAGTGAGGGGTTATAAGTGTCTTTAAGAGAGGGAGTAAGTGTCACTGTGTTTGCTTATCTTGGCTAATTAATTGACTGAGACATCCCTGACTTGCAGATAATGAGGTGTAAACTGTGAACTACCTAGTTCTAACTTTTATTATTCATAGTTCTATTGAAGACAAACAATATTATTAAAACAATTAATTAATAGCTCTCAAAACACTTATTTCAATACAGAATGAAATTGTGCTATTAGTTTAATTACTTAAAGACACATTTGATTTACATGTTTATTACTAAGAGTTCTAATTTACTTATTTTTTTTAAAGAAGACACAAGAATGTTTAATGTGTACTGTCAACATACGGGCAGCCCAAATACTTCTAATGAAGTTATTCACAAAAAAATTATTTTATAATAAATAATTTTTGCAACAAGTCAAATCTGAATATGGAGGTTCAGATCCAAGGTTGAAAGGAATACATGTAATTAATTCCTTGACATATTTTATTGTAGGAATCATGTCTCCACTTTTCATGGTACAGAATCCCTCATTTGGGCATTTAGTGAGAATGTTAGCCAGAATAAAACCTTAAAAGAATCTGCACTGAAACTGCAGGAACACATTCAAACTTCAGTGGATATCATCAACATTACCATTTAAATATTGCTTTGATATTTGAAGGGATAAAAACTTGGGAGTAATCAATTATTAATCGATTACATCTTCCAAAGTAATCGATTACAGGACAAAAATGAGCGTAATCGATTAATAATCGATTACACAAAATTCCTCTAAGTAATCGATTATTAATCGATTACATTTTTCAGTAATCGTGCCCATCCCTGGCACTCACCTTGTAAAACTTTGATCCCCCAGTGTGGTCCCATCCTACCCCGGGTCTTGATTTGAACATACTTGAATCTACACTTTGTTAGAATACTTGCATATCATTATAACTAATTATGGCTTTGCTGTTTTTGAGAATATCTTGTCCTATTCATTCCTATGTAAAATTTGATCACCCATAATGGCCCGACCCTGGGGCTTGTGATTTGAACAAACTTGAATCTACAAGGATGCTTCCATTTTAATGTGACTAATCATGGCTTTGCTGTTCTTGAGAAGAAGATTTTTAAACATTTTTTTTCTATATACATGTATATATTCCTATGTAAAATTTATATCCCCCTTTGTGGTCCCATCCTATCCCCCAAGGGTCAAAATTTGAACAAACTTGAATCTACAGTACCTAAGCCTAAAGGATGCTTCCATTTTAATGTGACTAATCAAGACTTTGCTGTTCTTGAGAAGAAGTTTTGTGAAAAGTTTTTTCCAATACATTTCTTGTTAAAACTTTGATTCCCCATTGTGGCCCTACCCTACCAACAGGGGTTATTATTTGAACAAAATGGAATATTCACCATGTAATGAAGATTTCCTATAAATTTTATCTTTTCTGGCCCAGTGGTTCTTGAGAAGAATTTTATAAGATGCAACTCAATTTTCAGTAATTCATAATACTGTATAGGGGATTAATTTCACGGGTTGTAATTTTCACGTTTTTCTCTCCTCTGGCACGATCGCGGTTTGTTGAATTCGCGGAATCGGTATATAATAAAAGTTACCTCCCTTGTCTATATCCGTTTAATCCCTATCATATATAGAACGACATTAATCAGCGTTATGTATTCACTTCACGAAAAACAGTGTTGGTTTATATAAAATAGTTAGATTTAATAATTAATTTACGATTAATTAAAACAAGTGCAGTTATTAAAAGTCCTTGACTATAAACGTCGAATGACTCTCCTATATGCTGTTACGATGAGTGCATGTACACCCCAAGATCTTCTTTCCGAAGGGATAATACACTGCGGCGAAATATCACTGGACGATAATAAATGTGTTAATGTATGTCAACAAAATAATATCCTTCCACATCTTCAGCAAGTTCGATAGTTATTTGAATGATTTTTTAAAACCAAATGACGATAAAAACTACTACGCATGATAATGCAGGTAACACATTAGTTACGCACGGGTAATCAAAACCCATGACCAACGTCTTTTGATTCATGAAACATGTAGTGTTGGCTATTAAAACAGCGTTTTAACAAATACAGGTTATTATCTGCAGATTTGAATTAAAGTAAAGCGTGATAATTAAAATAATTGAATGACAAGTACTACTCGTAATTACTGAAATGACCATGTACTGCACGTATATATACCTATCGAAATCTATTCTCAAATTTCCAAATAAGACATGGAGGTTATTGAAAACTAATTCACTGTTTCTTGATTTCACGGATTTATTAACACCGTGAATATAGCGAATATTAACACCGCGAGTTAATTTCCCCCTATACAGTATTCACCTCTTTAAAGAGGACCCCATTCACCCAAAAATGCTTTGTGGCCAGTTTGATTGAAATTGGCAAAGTGGTTCTGAAGAAGTAGAAAATGTGAGGTTTTAGGACATAGGGATGCCAGACAAAATGAGATCAGAAAAGCTTACTTGGGTTTTCAGATCAGTTAACCTCAAAATGCAGAAATTAATTTGCTACTTTTCAGTGGTCAAATTGCTAAAATTTCCAACTAGTAAAATTAATCATTATACAGTAATTAGCTTATGTTACCTGTGTGTTCCACCAGCTTTACTACATTGCTGCTCTAAAACTCTCTTTAGGAAAGTGGCATCACTAGGACCAGAATTAATTAAGCTGTCCAGATCTTGATAGTGTTTCTTATCTCGGATGAATTCTTTATGCTGTTCCTCTCTAACATGCTACAAAAAAATCATAAATATGGTTTAGTGAAATAAACAAGAATTAGATTTACAAGAAACAAACACAGTTGAACTTCGGTGTCTTGAACACTGATATCTTGAATATCATGGATATGCCAAAGTGAATAGGAAGTTCCAACCACCTATTAAGCAGGGTTGTCTACAAGACCCAGAGGCCAGAGAATTTCCCTGCCTATAATGACATAATTCCCCAGTTATTTTGGTATCCCCCCCTCAACCCCCTGTTAAGGAAGGAACCCCAGACGCTCTTCTACTTTTTTAAAATCCCCCATTATTTCAACCCTGGTTAAATATTTAACCCTTGCTATCTCGAATTCTTGGATTTTTCGATGTCTTTTTTCCGTTGAGTCGATTTAGAGATAATGTGGTTTGACTGATATTGCCTCTGGATACTGCACAGTGCAATGTCAGGGAATATATAATATTTTATAATCAGGTCAAGAGGATTCAGTTAAAAAAAGAAAATAGTGACAATTCAGATTCTCTCTAAAAGCTATCAGTAAAATATATACTACTGTGAAGTTCTAAAATAAATTAAAGAAATTCATAAATGATGTTTTGTGGATCACTAAAAATTCTGTTATTGGAATGACTTTACTTTACCGGTCCCCAGGAAAATGCGCTAAAATATAGTGTCGCCATAGGCGACTTTAATATATATGAGATCGCATGAGCGATCAAAAAAAAATAAAAAGTATGAGGTTTTAAGCCTTTTGAGCCCAAATTGAATTCGATGGCTAAAAGTTTAGTTTAAAACTTTATTTTAAACGAAGTTTTTGACCTCGTTCTCTGGAAAAAAGCAATAAATATTGTTTATTCAGTGAAAAGGAGACAAAAAATAAATGTCAACGAAGCGCGTGTGGTGCATGCTTAGTGCCGTTTCTTTCGTACTTAGACATTTTTTCATGTAAACAAACCAACGAGATATCGTTGAAGCTGAATTAAGATCTTGCGAAAAATGCTGGAGCAACTGAATTTCTTACTTAATCTAAAAGAACAAGACACTAACCCTAATCTCTTAGATGTATGCGAGGATTAACCCAAATCTCCCGAGCGGATGCTAGACTAACCAATGTGCGAGGACTAGCCCTAGTCTCTCCGATGGATGCTAGACTAACCAATGTGCGAAGACTAGCCCTAGTCTCTCCGATGGATGCTAGACTAAGCCTAATCAGTAGAAAAACTTGTGCAAGGACTAACCCTAATCTTTCAGGTGGGTGCAAGACTAGCCCTAACCAGTTGAAAAATGTGCAAGACTAACCCTTATCAGTTGAGGTAAATCTTATGTCATGGTGCAATGACCGGCCGGTAAAGTCTACCCGTTATTATGCAAACAGACGGGTTCTTTGATGAGATTTATATGCATGTTATAAACTAAAATATTTATACATTATATTATATGCAATACCTAGGGCTGGGTATTGGATGGGAATTTTGCATTGCGATACATTACGATATTTTAAACGGTATTGCGATATGTATTGCAATATTTTTAATAACAGTTAAAATGCTCTTTTCTTATTTTATCAACCTTTATTTATAATCAGGGTGAATAAACCACATGTGTGTTATAAATACGTTATAGCAAAAAAAAGTTCTTGTTGATTTCACTTCAGATTTGCAACAAAATACGACCATACAACAGCAACCTTATTATTGGGCATGCTTGAAGGGTGTCTGGCATCTTAAATTTCATATTTTACTTTAGAAAATCCAAGCCCAAGCATTTTACTGATATACCGGTACTGGAAAAACTTATTGCAATACAATATTTTTTGTTAACGAATCGCAATATACCGGAATATAGATATTATTGCGCATCCCTAGCAATACCTTTACCGATGTTTACAGTAATCCACATGGTTATTCTTGTTGCTAACAAAAGTATTTATGAAAAATATTTCAGTGCATTTTACTCCACTTCTTGTCAGATGAATTTTTTGCTCCAAAGCAACACAGAGCTCCTAAAGTTTTGGTTCAATTTTGGTTTTGATACCACACACAGTGGATAAAACATGTACAAGTATTGATCATAAACAAATTTATCCTTGTTAGCTATTTAAAATTAATATAATTACTGATCAATCACTCTCACCACTAGTTTTACTTTTTTTTAATGTGACATACTTTGGTTAGATCATTGTATAATTGCTGATCTACTAATTTTACTTTTTTTCTGTGACATACTTTAGTTAGACCATCATATTTTACTTCTTTTTCTGTTACATACTTTGGTTAGATCATCGTATTTGTGACATACTTTGGTTAGATTATCGTATTTGTGACATACTTTGGTTAGATCATCGTATTTGTGACATACTTTTGTTAGATCATCGTATTTGCAGGGTTCTCATTAAGTGCTGGCGACCGGCGATTTCGCCGTCTATTTACACAATGGCGCCGGTTACTTCACTTTCAAAAATCAGTATAATCATGTCAAGAAAAATCAGTATAGTGCAGCAGAGGTCTTCGGTTATCACTTTTGTTTTATCAAACATAGTGAATAAAAAACGTAAACATAAAATCGTCATTTGACGCTTTTCTTAACAGATTACGAACCCTTTTTTAAACGTGGTGATGATTCCGGAATCACGATCAGTCTGGTTTAAGTTTTACTAAGCATTTTTCATTTCTGGTTTTGAAGCAGCATGGGCGATGGCTGCTGCCAGTGCTGGCTGCAGCCGAGAAAAATACAGACGTATAACTATTGATTGTGATTCAGGCAGCAGTGAGGAAAGTGAAAGTGAACTAGAGCTAGAATATGAATATGAATTTAACTAAAAAATGGTTTCAGTACAAATAAAATCAGATTCATTAGTCAGTCTATAAATTTGTGTCATATTTTTCTAACAAGAATAACCAGGGTACCTATTACTTTCTGAATGGATTTCAATGAAACTTGCAGATTCTTTTTAATTGTGATAATACATGTATCTACTCAATAAGCTGCAGACACTCAGACTCTTTAGTCTCCCATACACCTAAACATAAATATTAATATGCATTTAATCAAAAAACTGCTACAAAAATCATTAATGCAACAAAAATTTGTTAAAAAAATCTTTATTTACAATGAATTACAAACATCCAAGAAGTCAGATGGATAGGCCGTGTGCTACTTTTTTTTTTTTTTTTTTTGCAAAATGGGCTCCTTAAATGTAACATATTGAGAAAAAATAAAACAATTCAAAATATGCCGAAAGAGGTCCCAGATGCCACCTCCTGCAATGTAAATTTTATGGCGGAAAGGGGGGAAACCCCCCTCTCGGACTCACCCCCCCCTCGGGCCAATGGTCCTCAGTTCCGGCCTTCAGCACTCAAGTCAACAGTGCCCCCTACTTTTTCTTTTTCTCCACCTACTCTAAAAATTAATGAGAACCCTGATTTGTGACATACTTTGCAGGGTTCTCCACATTTAAAAATTTAACCATGGAGGAAGCTGCGCGAAAGGAACATGTGATTGAAAGCACGAACGCCTGTTAGACTCTATAAGCTTCATTAATCAATGATTGATTTCACAAAACTTAACCAATGCAAAACAAAAAAATTGAAATACCCCCCCCCCCTTTAAAAAAAAAAAAAAAAGAAAAGAAAATAAATAAAAATTAAACAATAAAAAGGATTATGTATCTTAATTTACAAAAGTACCAAAATTGAACCAAAACTTTTGGAGCATTTTAAAAGAATTTCATTTTTTTTATTTTAATATATAAAACATTGCAACAATAATCGTTGAATTTTATTCTAAAACTAATACATGTATACAGAATTGATTTTGCCTGTTGAATGAAAAGCTTTATTTAAATACATGTAGGACCAAAACTGATGAACGAGTAGTATTTTGAACACAAAAATTTACAGACACACAAACAAACACATGAACGAATACTGACATCTTAACACTGCCTGAGCTTTTAACTGCATGTTCTTTGAAAACTTACTGAAGGTATAAGTATCAAAACTTAACATAACCTGAGGGGCATAAATTTGAAATAACTGTAATATTGCTTTCTCTGTTCTGTTCTCTCTTAAAGTTTTTTTTTTTCCTACACTGCATTTTTCACCAATTTTCCTCCATTGTTTACTTCTCCATGTGCTCCACGGCTAAAAATAGTGCCACGCAATGTTTAAAAAAATGGGAGGTAACTCTAAAACTTGGACATGGTGATTGGCCTTCGTAGCCATTTTATCAGAATATATTAAAATTAATATTTAAAAACGGAGCTAGAGGAATTAATTGAATACAAGGGATAGAAAATTTTGAAAGGGTGAAATTTTTTTTGGCCTCAGAAACTTGATTCGAATGTTTGTCGATTATTAGACATCGTTATGTTAATACGCACGGTGTTATCTTTCGTAAATCTGTTATTATGTAACACGTTGGAGTTCCCCGAAATTACAAGTGTACAGGAAAATTAACTCTAATCATCAGCTGATTGACTCTTGTCACGCTTCACGGTATACAGATAAATTCGCCTATCAACGACCGTGGTTACTTCGCACGTACAGAACGCTTTCTCTCGAGGTGCATGCCAGTCGTAGTATAAGCATAATTAACTACTCAGGTCATTAAAAATTAAATGTCAATACTGAAATGCAATAAAATTTAATCATGGTGGCCGCCGATTTTAACCATGGCACAGCTCGTTTAACCATGGCGCACATAAATTTAACCATGGCAGGCGCCATGGTAAAACCCCTTGTGGAGAACCCTGCTTTAATTAGTTCATCGTATAACTACTGATCAATCACTCACACCACTAATTTAACTATTTTTTTATGTGACATACTTTGTTCAGATCATCATATTTAGCTTCACAGCATTCACAGTATCCTCTTCTCTTTTCCTGCAGTCTTTTCATCTCCTTCCGTCGTCTTATGTCTCCTGCGGTGATAATCCTGACGCCACCTATGATACTGGTTCTCTGTCTTTTCTGTGGTTCTTTTCTGTAAGATAGTGGAACCAAATCAAATGATGACTATCATTACTTCCAGGTGTAAAGGAACTCTTCTGTATTGGAGTAGCAAATGAGATGGGGACAAATGATGAAAATTAGATATCTTTCAACTTCATATTTCAAAACAATGAAATTTCCAAGTAAAAATAAATGATATCTGTTGTAAAATGTATTTTCCAAATTATCTTAACTTTGTATTTCAAAAAAAATATGCTTGTTTACGGTTACACGACCGACTCTATTTTTAATCGCTGACCCAATTTTTTTTTTTCATCGTAAAAATACGGTAGTCACTGGCCGGTCAGTTTAACTTTTACATTCATCTTAATTGGTCGAGCGTTTGAAATCAAAAGTACAGAAACAAAATTGCAAGTTCAATATCTACATCAACATGTTCATTGCAATTTTATTACCATTCTGTGGTAGTTATAAGGCAGTTGGCAAGAAAGATAATTTTTATCGCCCATATGACAAGCCCAAACAAAAAGTAAAGTACCACACAATGGTAAAACTGTTTTGTATTTCAACCAATTCACGTGAATTTGTGAATAAAAAAATTCAATAAAATAAAAAATAATTCCTACCTACCGACTCTATTTTATTTCAGCATGTAATAGTAAACAAACATATTTTTTTGTTTGGCCTTAATACAAACTTTTTGGAAAATATACTGTACCTGTACATAAATTGGCATATTCAAAATTTAGCGCAATCACTGGGTATTGAGTTATTGGCAAAATCAAGAATTAGCGCTATGCATGTTCGTGCCCTATATTGTATTTATAAATGATTTCTTAGTGGTATTCATGAATTAGCACATCGTTGCATGCGCCAAAGCCACTGAAATATGAAGCCTACTTTTTTAAGTACACATACATTACATGTATATTTTCCAATTTAAACAATGCCAAAAAAAACCACTCTGGCAAAAAGGAGACATGTTGGGAATTATTTTGAGTTGCTTTCCCTTGCAACATTGATGACATTAAGACAACAATTTACATCAAACTTTAAAAAGGAGAAAGCAATATGGGCTATTCCAGGAAAAATTGTATGGGGGGGGGGGGGGGGTTGGAAGGCACTTTTATTTTTACCCCACCACCCATACATTTTTAATTACCTTCTACCCCACCCCCCATCATTTTAAAATTGCTTTTGATACAACTACCCATCTAAATTAAAAAAAATTGTGTCACATATATATATATGCAATAAAATTTTATGTACTTTTTTCAGGTATTGTAATTTATCTGACTTCGAATGAGTGTTGGGTTTTGACATCTATCCAACCAGGGCCCGTTTTACAAAAGAACTTATGACTAAGATCAAAATGTTATTATGCAAATAAATTTCTTTTTTGCATTACTTTAAAAATGTTTTAAATCTTTTTGAAAAAAATGAGATAGTTTTATGCCAACAATTTTTAACAGAAACATAAGTTTTGTAAGATTTTATGAACAACTAAAGTTTTTAGTCTTAGTAATAAGTTTTTTAGTAAAACAGTTCCCCGTGTTCATGCTACAGCTTAAAAAAAAATATGTTCCTTTAGTCCTATGATACACACCACTGAAAGCCTTTATTATAGTGATTTGTATATCTGTTCTGATGCATGACTTTGTAGTCTGTAAAGCTTAGGTAAAGCTTTTACAAGTATGTATACACATGTTATTGTACTAGTAGAAATGACATTCCTACAATTAATTAAAATTAATATTATCCTTAACAATTGTTGTTCACCTTGTTCATAACAAAATGATTCCTGCTTTTTTTTTTTTGGGGGGGGGGGGGGGGGGGCGGAGGGGGACTAAACTTCTGTAGGCAGTGTCTGTGAAGTAAAAAATTTGATTAAAAAAACATATTTAATGAATTCTAAATCCCATCTAACAACTTAGACCATTGGTGCATACAAGTTCCACAAGTTAACACTTAACAGGTCAACATGGTTAAGGACTGGCATGTTTTTGACATAATATATTTCATATATTGTTTTCAAACTCATATCTCATCTTCCATTTACTCTGTATGTGGTATAAAGTAAAATATTTGACTTGCAAACTCCGTGGTCATGCTCTAAAACGTTCATTATCAGAAACGTTTATTTCTACCTTCGGTTTAAAATAAAACGATCTTTCTGATTGTTTCTATTATCATTTAATTTACCAATGTAATCATGTTTGATTAAACCGGCGAAAAGAAACTGGAACAGGGAGTCCAAAGCATAACTAATCCGTTTTCCAATCCCCCACTGTCATTGCAGTCACAGTTGCACATGCTTTTATAGTTATCTGCCCTTGTTTCCGTTTTGTTCGATTCTACTTTCACTTTCAATGTAAACACACTTTACAACTGTTTAGGACGAAAATATCAGTATTTACCGATTTATACAAAATGAGAGGAAAGAAGTACTTTGCACTTGATTATTTGTGAGGGTAAATACAACCACCCATCTAAAAATATATCGAGTGAGGACAACCACCCATACAAATTTAATTGCTCCAGACCCACTACCCATACAAAAATATATGAAGTGCCGTCCAACCCTCCCGTACATTTTTTCCTGGAATAGCCCTATATGAAAATATACGAAAATTACACCTAATTTGTCAGTAGTCTTGGGTGTGATGATGGACAGGAAATTTTTTTTTTTCACTGTACCAGCACGTACCTGCATTTACTATACATATGTTTGCTATAAAAAAATGCTTAAAATTGATTTAACTGTTATAAACAAATGCTTAAAATTGATTTATGTTTTATACTTGTTCGAGGACTTGGAATTCTCCAGTGTTTTTGTTGACTGTGTCGGTCCACTTTTTGACTCTGGAGTCCTGGGTTCCAAGGGAATCAGTCCGATCCTGTCTCCTCTCTCCTCCCGCGATCTCTCCCCGCCCACTGAGGTGCCATCAAATGGACAGGTGCCCCGTGGTGTTTCTACATTAGCGTGGGGCCAAACCTCAACTTGATGATACACCACCTTGTACTGTCTTGTGACTGATTCCATCTTAAGGTATGGAGGTTTTAGTCTCTTCACTGAAAAATATCAATTACTGTGTCAACAGGTTTGTAAAAATCAAGATCATATGAACAGGAAAATCCATTACATTAAAAAAAGTTTTTAATTTTGTTTTCTATAATATTATAAAAGAGACACTGTAAGTCAGTGCATGAATATTAAGGCCAAAATTTTTTCAGGTAGGTTCATAAAATTTTCAGTTCAATTTTGTTTTTTTTTTTTCAATTCTGTCCTTTACATTTATCTGATACTTTAAATTCATGAAATAAATCTGAAATCAAAAGCCTGAAAGGTTTCAATGGCATCGAACACAAAAAACAATTTCAAAACATTTTTTTTAATTTAAAGATAGCAAAGGTCAAATAATTGACTAATAAAAATGTTAAGTTTAAACTATATGTCAAATTTACAGCCTGGGGCATTATGCCATGGTCCAAATAGAGCAGGGTTCGAATTGACTAGACACCGTCGAAGATGTTCATGCTGGATATCAAACTCATCTTTTTTCAGTCAACTAAAGAAATATCAAGGATTTAATGAATTTATATGAATATTATTCTAATTGTCAATGTCTAAGCATTGTTTTAGCGCAGCTAAACAACAACCGTAACTCACTCTGTTGCTACGATCGAGTTAGATCGGACGTGGTAGGCTTATAGGGTAAAATGCGATATGGAAGAAATGGTGAAATACAGTAATAACTTCAGTTTTTATGATAGAATTGGTTGTAAGATTGTAAAAGTAAGGTTTACATTTGGAAATTCAATCCTTTTAGTCTTCTAGCATTCGTGTTAATTTAATATTGTGGTTATTTTACCGCCTATTAATATCAGTTGTTTGTGTTTACATGGTTCTCCTTCGTAAATGTTATTCATGTCATTAAACACAGCCTTTAGAAATTCATCCGCAAGAACTGTCACGTTTTTCTTGTGTGAAAATGAAAATTAAAACAGGGTATCTTTTTTATGTGACAAATTATTTGTAGATATAATTGATGCAATTTTATTTTCAAGCTATTATTCACTGTGAATATTTTCAAAGAAATTGATGCATTGTTATTGCTATTATATTTTGCGGATGCATGGACTGACACATTCGGTCACGTAAAGTTTGGTCACCCACTAAATGGCATTCGAGCTCAAGAGCTCGATGCCATAAAAATCTTTGTTACATTAAATTCACCTTTAAAAACAAGTCTAAACCATGTTACTATCTTGACATCGGTGTTCAGGACTACTAGACTGACTATTAGTGACAATATGATCACTCTTGCTTGTTTTAATAATTATCCTATCCTTTTGCGACAAGTGTGTTGTCATGGATAAAGTATATTTCAGTTGAGTTGTTTATCTATTACTGTTATCATCCTCATTATTTTGATTTCGACCCTATTTTATGTATAAAACAGATTCTAATATACAAACCAGACACAAACTGAAATCCGAAAAATGGATCTGAAACCTAATCTAACAACTCGGACTGTGGTTTTCGGTTCTTTGGGGGATCCAGGACTGCCCTTATAACTAGCATTTTAGTACCAAGTAATGAGCTTCAATGATTCTCAATTACAAAGTTATTGTTCGGACATGATTACATGGACAGGTAGATAAGTGATTCCTACACCCCCACCCCTCTCAAACTTGGAGGTTGGGGTGGGAGGATTTATAATGATAATTTCAAGAGTTGTTGTTCCTTCTTTAGGTATGGAAATCCTTCACTGTAAATACTTCTTTACAACGAACAGAAAACATTTTATTTTAGTTTCCTAGCTAGGCAAGCAATTATTCAGGGGTAGCTCAAAGTTCATGTGAAGGGTTCATGCCATAATCTACCATTTTACCATCAGTAAAAACATACCTTTGCAGCTTCCTTGGAGGTTGTTAACATTGCTCTGCAGAGAAAAAAACAAATGAATAAAATTTCAAAATTACCTTTCAAAATACTGAATTACCAGTACTATAAAATTAAAAAAAAAAAACACATTGATTTTCAAAGCTGCCAAACAGGGATGATCATAAAAACTGTGTTGTATATTTGGATCTTTGATATACTGCATTTACATTGTACACACTTGTTTCAGGCCATTTAAAAAGTCAAACTATTCAAGGACAATCACTGAATACAGATTTTTTCCAAAATATTTTATTTATCATTCCTTGGCTTACCTTTGGTTTACTGTTACTTTGAGGAAGCTTAGAAATTTCTCGCTGGATCCATTTTTGTGCCGCTACAAAAGCAAAATTACTCATTATGAATTTAATTCAATTAACCCAACAAATTAATGCAAAAGATAAACCTGGTTGTTCTCTGCTTCCATGTCTCTCTAAACAAAAGAGGATCTTCCTTCTCTAAAACTCAGGGTTGTCCTTAAGATCCGGGGGCCGGGGAATTTCCCCGCCTATAATGACATAATCCCCCAGTTACTTTGGTATTCCTCCTCAATCCCCTGTTAGCAGAGGAACCCCAGATCCCTTCTACCCTTTAAATGCCCCCTGCTATTTTAATTCTTAGGGACAACTCTGAAAGCTACTGTAACAATACATTTTTTCTAATACTGTCAGGTTTGAACATTCAACATTTATAGATTTCAATAACATTAACATGACCTTTGTTCAGTCATTCAAATTTTACAGGTAAGTTTTTAGTTGTTTACAAGATAAACATTTACATATTTTATACACTTACCATCCAGGGAGACAACTTTGATGCCCCAGTTTTCTGCATTTGTGAGCACCGGATTTGTCTAAAAGTATATAATTTAATTTTATGGATACATGTAGGTATGAGATGTTTGTGAAACACTTATGCCCCCCCCCCCCCCATAATTGGAATTTTTCTAAGTCCAAGGGGGGCATAACTCTGTCAAAAATTGCTTGATCGTACCCAAAACAGAACTTGACCTAGATATTCTTATGATGAATATGTATACCAAATTTCATTTCATTATGTGCAACCTCTGCAAAGAAAATGAATGGAAACTGCAAATAATTGGAATTTTTCTAAGTCCAAGGGGCATAACTCTGTCAACAATTGCTTGATCGTACTCAAAACAGAACTTGACCTAGATATTCTTATGATAAATCTGTATACCAAATTTCATTTTAGTATGTGCAAGCTCTGCAAAGAAAATAAATGAATGGAAACCGTTGGTGGACCAACAGACAGCAGCAAAGCAACATGCCCTCCCTTCTTCGAAGGGGGGCATAAAAATAATGTGACAATTCAGAAAGTTTATTTCATTTCTGAAAATTCCTGAGGGTATAAAGCTTCGACTTCTAAAACTTAGAATATTTCATGAGGTGTTTCTGGGGTTCATGAAAAATATGCAGGATTTTTTAGATGTGGAACTTTACATACTTGAGAACTTTTTATCAAAAAAAGAAAAAGGCATTACTTACATACATGTAAATTAACTATTAAATTAACTTTTACATATAAATGCACACAAATTGAAATCTGCAGATTTCATCAAATCGGCCTGGGGATGTTTTGAAAAGTTTAATGTAAGTAGAGTCATTGTGATGACTGTGGGAGGATAACTCAGGTTACCTTGATAATAAGATGATACTGAGGAATCTCTTTTTTCTTACCTTCATTAACAGTACTTGTGTAATAAATTCAGTTTTCTCTGACAACACTCACCTCTTTGGTAACTGCCCTTTTTGCAATAGCTTTTCCTCTGATAACCTAAAATATAAAAGGAAATACAACTCATGATCTTAACTCTTACTGCAAAGGAAATACAACTCATGATCTTAACTCTTACTGCAAAGGAAATACAACTCATGATCTTAACTCTTACTGCAAAGGAAATACAACTCATGATCTTAACTCTTACTGCAAAGGAAATACAACTCATGATCTTAACTCTTACTGCAAAGGAAATACAACTCATGATCTTAACTCTTACTGCAAAGGAAATACAACTCATGATCTTAATTCTTACTGCAAAGGAAATACAACTCATGATCTTAACTATTACTGCAAAGGAAATACAACTCATGATCTTAACTCTTTCATTTACTTCATCTTTATTTCCTCTTTTCAGAGATTTTACATAAAACTCATATCCAATTAAAAGAATAGACAAACCTTGTTGTCTTGAACTCAATTGGACTGAGAAAAAACTTTGAGATATCTGAAGATTCAAGATATCAAGGGTAAAATACTTAAAGAATAAGGGGTTGGGACTTCAAATCACTTTAATTTATCCATGGTATTTGAGATTTCAGTGTTCAAGATACTGAAGTTCAACTGTTTATGACAATGCCTATAACATGCACACATATCAGAAGTTTTTCACCCATATCTTAAAACCAGCTTTTTCTTTTCATTTTGGGAGGAATTTTACAATGAAATCTTCACAAAAATTCAGAAACTAGTTAAATTAGGGGAAAATAACGTCTTACTCTAGTGGAAACTACCTCTATTTAACTGTAATTAGGAGTCAGGAAAAACAATAATCTTATACTTACAGACTCCTGCGGAGGTTTAGATCCAGCAGCAGGGGATGGGGAGGGACCAGTATTAAAGGGGCTGGGGGTAGACACTGTGGAGGGACTCTCAGGGGACAGTAAGCGGTCATTTTTGTCAGACTTCGATAACCGGTTACTTGTGATCACATAGTTGATATCTTTGTGGAAGAATTCGTCAACTCGCTGAAAAAAAAAGAGAATACATGTTTACTACGTGTTATGTAAATAACTAAATACTACATAGTTTTTGCTATGACCTACATGCATGTCTTTTTTCTAAATTTTTATCCAGTATTACAGTTAATTCTTAATAGCAGAAGATGTCAGATACCAGCATGTTAATAAAAAAATCAGACAAAATATGCATGACAAAGCATAGACAAGATTCCTTGAGTGAAAAAATTATAAAAGAAACTTCAGTTGAAGTGTAGCACTAACATTATTTTGCTGCAGATCATAAAGACTATTAATAGTTATATAATCACACTAAAACTGAAAAAACACAAAAAAGAGAAACTCTTTTATTCCCAGATGTACAAAAATACATACATTTTGATTATCTAAATAGGGAATGATAATCAATCAGCGGCAAGACTGAAATCTGTCATTCTGAAAAATGATAATCATCATGTCCATGAACTACGTATTTTCGTCGTTTATGTCAATATTATTATTGTCATTTTCAACTTAATTATTTTATCCTGGTTATATAAAAACAAATTTTGAATTTACCACTGAAAGAACAGTGTTTATGTGAGTTTCATTTCACCCAGGTCACTAGTTACTGCGGACCATGTGCATTAGAGCATCAACATGGAAAATGAAAGTTATTATTTTATCGGTAAAATGTCAAATTATGGTAAAACTAATTTGCAACCTATACATGGTATTTACCCCTATAAAAACATATAGTACACTGTCTAGAAAAATAAATACTTGAAGAGAAAAGTCTTGACAAAAAGTTAAAACCATAAAAAAGTAGTACGTCCAAGAAAACAAACGAGATATTTCAGTGGCTGAGTGCACCCATTTGGGTAAAAAGTTGTAATATTGTCATTTCTTTGCTAGTTTGTGCATATAAATTGACAAATAACTCTTACGCCCTTATTTTTGCTTGGGAATTATTTGTATCGTCAACATAACCACTATTGTAGTCAACTTTATTTAAGAAATGAAGTTTGTTTATGATGTTTCTGTCTTTTTTGGGTTGGTGGATCTAACATTTTTTTTAAAGAGATTTAACTCGCTATTCTAGAAACACTCTAAATTTTTTTTACTGTTTTCATCTTTTTCTTAAAAATGATGAATTTTAGTCATCATAAAAGTTTTAATTTATGACTAGTTGTCGTCATTTTTCAAATGACAGATTTCAGTCTCACCCCTGACTGATAAATAACAATTTAATTTTTCCAACTTTAATTTTTTTTTCCAAATAAATTCATGTTTGTATACCGCTCCAAGCCTCTTAATGTCTTCCTTTATTAAGCGACTCTGAGCTATTTCCTTGACATCAACAAATATGGATTTTCCCATCAATGGTAATTTTTCTTTCTTTTCCACAAAGTTCAACTTCCGTCTTCCCTTGGGACTTGCACCTGCTGAAAAGAAAGCGAAGTTTAAAAAACTTTAATAAGGTCTTTATTCTTATATTCCAGTGGAGATTCACACACATAAAGGACTGTTGTTAAAATGGGTAGGCAAACCTTGGCTAGGGCAAATTGCAAACCCAGGTTTTTTGAGATTTTTCAATTTTCTGCATTAAGACTTTAGCAATTGAATCATAATATGTCTGCAAGAAGATAACCATAATATGTCTGCAAGAATATAATCATAATATGTATGCAAGAAGGTAATCATAATATGATAACAAGAATAAATAAAGTTTTCCAGAAGCATTATTAACTGTTACTTCTTGTTGGTTAATCTCAATCATGTCAATAGCAGAAGCAATGTAAATTTACATCATCATGGATTACTTCAGAAACCTCTGCACGGTTGCTCTATGAAATACTCACTGAATTTATAGAATGCATCAACACTAGGATTTTTTTTCTCTCCAGTTTTCTGCGCAACAATGTACTGAAGTTTAATATTTTAACAAAAAAAAATGTTTCAAGAATGTTGTTGGTATCCAATTCAAAACAAATTAACACATTACCTTTTTTCGCATCATTCTTCATATTTTATGTCCCCTGTATTTCATGTGTAACATTTTAGTAAGATGAATAAAATGTTTTCGTCCAAATGATGGCAAATCGGAGTCCAAAATACCGCGCTAATATTAGAACCGCAGAAGGTAAGTACACTTATTGTGATTGGATAAAAAAATAAACGTCCTTCACCTTTTTTCCAAAAAGTAAGAAAAAAGAATAACCGGATAAAATTGGATATCAAGATAATTCCCCACATAGTGTGGACGTTCACATTATTTCAGTAAAAAAGGAAATAAGGTTACTTTAATTTCTTTCTCTAAAAGCATGAAAAGGGTATTTCCTGTTCATAAAGCTCCTTCATATCCTCTAGGCTATATCATATGTGTTTAATATAAAAGATTGAAGGAAGGCAGGCGTGGATCCAGGAATTTTTTCCAGAGGGTGGGGGTGGGGGTGGGGTCTCTCCCCCCCCCCCCCCCCCAAAAAAAACCCAGAAATTTCTTGACAAGCGAAAAAATAAATAAATAAATTCCCTTGATGGTGGGGTCCAAAGTAATTTTATTTGCTTCAATTTACACTTTTAATAACTCTGCAAAATGAAATTCCAGGCCCCCACTCCCCTCTAGATCCGCGCAAGGAAGGGACAGCTTGTCCTACCACCCCCTCCAACACCCCAACCCCCCGGAATGTTTTTCTTATCATTCGTTATATATTTTATTCATTTATCCTTTTGGCCTGTAATTTAAAATATTTTCAATTCGGAATTTTGAATGGCGTGCCCTTCACCCCTGGAAAAAAATCACGCAAAGAATACATTTCTTGTTGCAAGATGCCAGTGGGCGCAAGTCGCGCGCCTCCAAAATCTATTTGTCAGCCCTGTCTTTTTGCAACTGTAATGTGAGCCTAAAGTATTTAACATTATAGAATACATGTATGTACTGAGTCTAGTCTGTATGACGAGGGGCTACATGCAGGATCGGACAGAAGAAGGTATACACATGGTGCATGTGTTAAAAATCAGTTTATATAGAAAAATTGTTCCATGATCGTAATTATCCGCAAATGGTTTAATTAAATTATGCGAATAATGACGCGACCACATATGATAATTAGCATACGATGCATAGAATTATATACATTGGATAGAACTTTGAGAGAGAGAGAGAGAGAGAGAGAGAGAGAGAGAGAAGTTCTAAAGCGATTATATACATGGAAAAAGTTTAGCAAAACCAGGGACCTATATACATATACTAACAAAACCATGGGTGCATGATCAAGGAGTTTTTTTTAAGGGTTGAAGGCTTATGCAATGAACAATTCAGCTATGAGTACGTAGATACATGTACTTTAATTCTGTATATATGGGTATCCATTACGTATATGTACATGTATATACATTATTTACTTTTTGCATGAGTTAAACATGTAAATGAAAAAGTTGATATAAATACGTAATGCAAACTTATTTATCAACCGTAACTACCATTGAGGCAAGTGAGGCAAATGCTTCACTAAAATTTGGATCTCCAAATAAGAGAATGTTTAAAGTAAACGTCCTAAAGGGTCAATGGTTTTTTTCCTTGCGTCATTGTAGAGAGGACATTCGAATAAAAAGTGTTTTGTAAATTTTTTATTCAATTTTTCCAGAAGCACAATTATGATTATTTATTATATATTAGTCCGAAATATCTGACGTTTTCCAGGCTTTTTTCACGATTTTGATATTTTACGTGCCAGGAAAACGTCAGAACCGGCGCCATTACAAAAACTGGAAATTCGCCGCCTCCAACTTGAGGCGGCATTCTCGGGTTGATTTTCGATACCTGCGAACCGAATTAAATGCTGAACTCACAACTTATCAATAGTACAATGCCTTTAGTACTCACCAGCATCGTTTATATGGATTTGTTTATGAAAAATACAATCTGGTGAAAACCATTTTATCACACAGTCGAATTTCTTTTCATTTCGTGCATTTTAAAATCTTGCAAAACCAAATGGAAATGTGGAGTGATATTTTCTTTTCATCGATATTGGTGAGTACTAGAGGCATTCTGGTACTGATAAATAGTAAGTTCGGCATTTAACTCAGTTCGCAAGTATCGAAAATCAGCCCCGGTTGGAGACGGTGAAATTTCCAGTTTTTGTAATGGCGCCGGTTCTGACGTTTTCCAGGCACGTAAAATATCAAAATCGTGAAAAAAGCCTGGAAAACGTCAGATATTTCGGATTAATTATATATATATGTTTCACTTGTTTTGCAAATAAATGAGAATTAAGTGTCCTAAGATTAAGTATCAGTACCGTATATTAAATTCATTGGTTGAGCAGTACTAAACATGTAAAATGTGCATAGTTATATATTAGCCGACCTATGAAACAGAATTTATTCAAAAACTTCTCTGCCAAGAAGATGAAAATGAAAGCGTATATAAAAACTGCGCTTCATTACAAAAATCGCTGAAGAACCCATATGAAAGATGTGGTTTCGATATCTGGAAAGACAAGGCTTTCACTCTGCACAGTGTTCAGATGGATTAAGAAAATACAAAAATGGAAAAGGAGTAATACAAGATCACAGTTGAACTGGTCGATCAAAATCTGTGGGGACACCGAAAAATGTCGATGCTGTAAGCAAATGATATCTCTAAATGCTAGATTTACCATTAAAGAAGTTGGTAAAACACTAAACATTATTCATCATCACAGTTTATGGAGTTCTAACAAAGGATATATGAAACTAAAAATATTTCTATATCATTTCCCTGCAGATGCCCAACAGAAAACATGCGTTAAATGTCTCAATGGTCTATTAAAAAATAAACATTAAAACAAAAGAATGTATGATAAACTTTGGAGATGGGTTTCAAAACATTGGTGCAACTTTTCTTGCTCAAAAGGAAGAATAACAAGCAAATTCAAAGAATTGTGGTCCCCGCTTTCGGTGTCTTAGTGGATGGGATGCCATTATTTATGGCATATTGTAACTGTCTTGTTTGTGTGTCCTGTCTTTTCTGTGCATCATATAAAAAAGACATAAATTATTGAATTTAAAACAGTTATGGCAAAGGTTATAGCTTCTCAAAACTACATCAAACTTCAAGATCAAGGTCATGAGGTCAAATATCAAAATACAATCCGAAAGGTCACAATTAATGTGAAAAAAATATCAAAAACCAGAGTATACAATCGGAAAGGTCTTGAAACAGGTAATGCACATGTCAAATGTAAATACCATAACTTCTTTCAATCGAAAGTTAGCGATGTTAAAATTTTTGAAAATTAGTTCAAATTTGAAGGTCAAGGTTTCGGAGTTAAAAATCATTAGTATATTTGGAAATGCTTGTTACAGGTAATACGCGTGTCAAATATGAGTGCCCTATCTTTGCTCCTTAAAAAGTTAGCAACACTGAAAAAAAGGTTTGAAAATTAGGTCAATCTTGAAGTACAAGGTCAAGGGGTCAAATATCATGGCACATTCGGAAACATTTTGAAAAAAGAAATGCACTTGTCAATATGAACGCCATATCTTATGTCATTAAAAGTAATCACCCAAGTTAAAGTTATTGAAAAATAGGCCAAACATGAAGGTCAAGGTCAAGCGGTCAAAAAATTATATCATGCTCGAAAACATCTGGTCAAAGGTAATGCACAGACCTATCTGTTCTCAATCAAAAGTTATAAGCAAAGATAAAATTTTTGAAAAGTAGGTCAAACCTCAAGGTCAACGTCACGGGGTCAAAAACCATTGCATGTTTTGAAAGGTCTTCTTACAGGTAATGTACAAATGTAATATGAAAACACTATCTTTTCTCATTCAAATTTTATGACAATTTAAAGTAATGTAAAAAAATATTTGAAAAGTAGGTCACTTCAAGGTTAAGGGGTCAAAAATCGTAGTCTATTTGGAAAGGCCTTGTCAGAGATAATAGACATGTGTAATATGAAAACCCTATCTTTTCTCATTTAAAAGTTACGACCAATTTAAAGTAATGTTAACATTTTTTGAAAAATAGGTCAAACTTCAAGGTCAAGGTCACGGGGTCAAAACTCATAGTATATTTTGAAAAGTCTTGTCAAAGGTAATGTACATGTGAAATATGAAAGCCTTATCTCTTAATAAGCATTCAAAAGTTATGACCAAGGTTAAATTTTTTGTGATAGACAGACTGACAGACGAATGGAATTTAATGTCCCCATCAATGATAGTTTTTATGCTAAAATTGCATTGATGAATGTTTCTGTTAGGAAAGTCCAAATATCGGTTCCCTAGTTATTTTCTTGTGTCTGACAACGTTAACGCGCTGCTGCAAATAAGCATGGAGATGTAAATGAAAGTTTGAAGAAAGGAACGTTTAGCTATCCTCCGTATTCGCCAGATCTCGGTCATTCTGAGATCTTTTCATTCCAAAATCCCATGAAAACAATCAAAGGAATTCACCATTTTATGTACGTCAAGGAGAGTGCTATTCATCAGTGTCTTTTGAGCATCCCTAAATTAAGAGTATGTTGAGGTGATCTTAGCATGAGTAATAAGACTTTAGACACGTGTAAAGGTTAACAAGGAATGCTTTGAGGAATTCAAAAATAATAAAAAGCTGCTTCTTGTACTTTTCTTGATTTTAGATCACATTCTGAATTACATTTTGAAGTGTATTTTAGGTTTATGCGTGTTGAAAACAATGGTAAAGTAATACCGTGTTGACAGTAAACATGCAAAGTCAATAATGGAACATAAAATTAAAACAAGAATTGCATCCAATGACAGATTTATCGAAGTCTGGAGAAAAAAAATCATGGATATATATATAACTGAATAAACTAAAAAATAAGTAAACTAAAGCTAAAAAATCTTCCTTATTAGTGTTAAAAGGTGTATCGTATCGTGTTCCAAATTCATTCACTATAGGCAACAAACGCAAAACATAAATCTACAAAAATGTTAGAAACATGTAGATGAATTCAGTCCCTGGTATATATACAATGCAATCATTGAGCAATTAACTCAAACATTTTCACTTAATACATTATTCTAAACGAGTAAACGTGTACACATTTATAATATTACCAGTGGCCAGAAATAGCTTAACTGAATTAACATCTTCATATATCCGTACCCCATGGGGATATATTACTTCTCTGTGATTCTTTATCAATGTCCGTACAAACGTTCCGTCCGTATAAAGCTGAACCAGTGTTGCTGACGAAAAACCAACCAAGTAAATATTTCCTTTGGAATCTGTGGCAACACCGCATGGATGTTTCACTTCAGGGTACTTTCTTTCAAACAGATTTTGAAAATATTCTCTATTCTTCATACAGTATAACTGTCCGCTGTTATTTGGATCTGTAAACAAAATTGCATCCCGGGTAGCACAACAGAAGCCGTATGAACAATCAGAAGTTATTTTGAATAATACAGAAATATTTCCAGCCTTTGTAATTTTTAGCATTTTTGAGCCACACAAAACCAAGAGATCCTCTCCCTTTTCGGCCACTCCTGATGGTTTGTAGTCCAGCTGAATGGATCTATCAAGAGAAAGACCTGGTAGATGAAATGTTACACTAAGAACCCGAATCGAGTTGTCTCCCCTACAGGCTACTGCAAAGTTTTCTCCCCATCGTGATATTGCCCAAAGTTCACTACTGAATTGAATACTCGCTTTGTGTGAACCGTCAATGTTATAGAGATGTACTGAACGGCCAGTCTGGGAAAAAACAATAATGTAATTTTCGTCGATAATTTCTAGATCCGTGACGCTATCCTTACATGAAATGCGGGAAACCATCTCGAGGCTGTCCTCAAGAAGGTTAACTTGACCCCTCTTCCCATTCAATGTACATCTACCGAAAGATGTGAAAGTGGTGTCAAAATTCACAACAAAACTATGTAATTCCAAAGACACGGAATATTTTTCATCTGGACTTTTCCGCTTTGCATAGTCATCATTTAAATAAGTGTGCAGTTTCTTACATTTGTTTGTTTCTAGAAACATATTTACGATACTCAAACTTTTGACATCAGTTAAAACATCGATGTTCTGAGAAATTATTTTGCTGGTTTCTTCAAACATTTCTCTTTTCTTTTCAAATTCCTCATTTTGACTTTTTTCGATATTTGAAAGATCTTGCAAAAGTTCTTGCTCGTTTTGGATGTGTAGGATCATTTTCCCGGATTTACCCTTGATATCAGTTGCTATTTGAGAACAACTGGATTTGAATTCCGAGTGATTTTCCCTCTCTTTTTCCTGCTTTGTTATGTATCCTTTTCGCAATTTTTTGAAACTTTCCAATAACGAATCCACGTCCTCGGTTTTCACCGACTTCGCACACTTTTCAAGGATCTCTACTCGATCACATTTTCGGTGAGTGATGGTAGCACACATTAGACAACATGGCTTCTCATGATCAAAGCAGTAAACTTCTAACTTTCTGTCAGAATGGTCTTCGCAGAACAGATTTCTTCTGAACACTTTCGAACTTGATATTTTAGATTTTGCTAAAACTTCATGCTTCATGGTTGATCTTATAGAGTTATGGATGTCGCGGCATTTCGTACAGAGCATGTCACTACAGTCTACACACCAAAAGCAACCATTAGCTTTTAAATTCTGTCTGGAACACACGTCGCAATGATTGGTTTTCTCCTCGGGTGCGCAGTTTTTATTGTCCTCAGAACCATCCATTCTGGACAATCTCTCCACCCACTCTTGGTAACTTTCGTTTGTTTAATCACACACCCCTGTCGACAAACAGGACACGTTACCTCAGTATTTTGAACAGCCGTTGATGATAGATAGGAAATCAAACACGATTTACAAAAAGTGTGCAAGCAGTTCGGGAGTCTCTTCGGCTCCGTTAAATTTTCGTAACAAATGGGGCACACATGTAAAGGCTCTACTGTTTTTCTCTCAGAGTTTGCCATTTTACCGTGTATAACTGCAATGTAAACTGAAAGTTCAATTCAAGAGAGGTAACTGCATTAAATGCAACATCTATATTGTCAAGTTGTAGTAATTTTATGTCTGGACGGTTACAAACCAAAAACTTTCGCTAGTGCTCACGTGATTAACAAGATTTAATTTATTTTTAATCTAATGAACTGATTTGATAATTTATGTGTATATAGTCTGCTCTAAATCCGTAAAAATTCTCATTCCATTAGCTGGCGAATCTCCCGTGTGCTGGTAATCCTTTCTCAACTATCGTCTGTACAATGAATAGACACCAGCTTTGATCAAATGAATCAAATGAATTCAGTTAGTCTTCGTACCGTCAATTTTATGTAATTGCGCTTTTTTTCTTCAAATTTCATTCAACGTATATATACAGTTCTACATCAGTGAAATAACTGAATTACGTTTATAAATGATCATGAAACGAGCGACGTGACACTCTCTGTTGGAGAAACCATTACAATAGTGGTTGAAAAGGCATTTCAAACTCAACACCACGTTGCAACCCCTGCTGAAATAATATATCATTAGTGGTTAAGAATGCAATTACAAACCCACGTAACAACCAGTATTGAAATTATAGCATTCTCTATACTGAATTCGAAATAATTATTCCAATGGTGGTTGAGGGTGTATTACAAACTCAACAATACGTGGCAACCAGAAATGAAATAACGCTCTCTAATGAAATTATTATTACAGAAGTGGCCGAGAATGTATTTCAAACCCAACACAACGTTGCAAATAACACTAAATAATAATTTTTCATTATGTTTATCAACTCAACATTTGAATGTATTGCGTTTAAGATGTGATGTTTTAATGTATGTTTTCCCCTGCTTTGGAAACAAAAGAATTTTTTTGTTGTTGAAAAATTGCAAAATTTCAAATAGTATATACTCTTACAATGCTTTCAATTCCAGTTTGAATGATTGGAGTAACTTCAGGGTGACATATGCTTTATTTGCTTGCAAAATAAAAGTTTCTAGCTTTATTTTGCATTCCAATTTTCAATTGTACATTAATTAAATTTTCATTTCATATACTTGTGATCTGAGTTTAATTTTTTTGGCATCTTTTCCTTAACATGCATACAGAAGTAATATGAAAAGATACGGAAGGTATTTACCATTATGATGTCACAATAAACCAATCCTGTGGCATGTTCCATGTTTTCAAGTGTCCCATGTGTCCAACAAACTTTTAGTGTCAAGGGTGAAACACAGAATATCATGGTCTTTTAGAATCATTTGCAAAGTACCTTTGTAACAAATTAAATCTTTCTTAAGGGATCTGTCTATGGTAGTAATATATTATAATTATTCCGTGCATATTCATGAACTCAAAAGTTTATAAACTTACACAAATAAATGAGGCTGCAATCTCTGAATTTGCTGAAAAGAAATAGGAAATAATTGTGTTTTTAATATTTTGTATACAACATACACATAGTTCGATTTAATCTTAAAAAATCGTTTTCCTTTGTCGCTCATAATACAGGGAATGATCATGAAGAAAACGATTTGTTCATGATCATACATACAATTACGCTTCGTAATTTGCCACATCGTTTTCATTTGTACGTGACATATTATGAACACGTGTACTTTTTGTTTCGCCAGCAGAGCAGAGCGGCAATTGCAGCTCACTTTACCCGGCGTCTGTCTTTCCGTTTGTCTTTCTGTCACACCTTATACTCCTAGAACTGTCAGAGATAAGGATTTGATGTTTTGCACCTACATATCTATTGCTCAATACTATCATATTGGCTTATAAAATACAGTGTATAGTTACCGACCTCGTGCCCCTTGAACTTGACGTACTTTTTAAAATAGTTCATAGTGCCGATATACAGCATATTTTTTTCTAATTTAAAGAGGTAATTTTGAATTTTGAGAGGTAGGGTTTTGATACTTAGCATTTTTATCACCTGTTTATGACCTTATGATACTTTGACACTACAAGATATACATAGTCACACGAAAGAAAAAACAAAAAAACATCGGGATCAGTATTCCAAGACAGACAATTGCAGAAACCCATTTGGAGAATAGTTGGAAACATGCATCAATAAAATGAAAGATAATTATTACTAATGATTTCAATTTCATTGTTCATTTTACCTTTGAACGTTGGGGAATCCTATTTCTATTTGATTGTCTAATTCTATCATAGTCTTTCTATCCGTGGATTTTTTTCTTGCGGGCAATTGCTTGAACTATAAAGCTAGTATATAGCAAATAAATAGGTGATCGCTCTTAGATTGATTTACATCTTTAATGATGCTATATAACAAGTGACACATGCGTTCCTTGGAACGCTAGTTTCATGTTTAAAGCATAGGTCAGCGATTACGAAGGAAAAAATACGCGGATTTTCCAATTTAGCAACTATTATCACTGAATTAACAAACACGGAAATATTTGTTTTTGGTTAAAATCGACACAATTGCACGTTTTTTTATGTAAGTGAATACGTAGAGGAAATGATGTTAAAAAGTTCTTATTTATCTTTACATGTATTATTGTTTTGTACTCTGAATAATTAATTCATATTTGTTTGAGTGAAACGAATTAGAAATAAAAGAAATATAATAGAGCACTTCAAATTTTCTGTGTTGTATTTTGATACGTTTTGTATTTCCAGATTTAATTCATTGGTTACATTTCTCTTATATTACGTATTTTATTACATCATTCAGAATGCATGGATGGACGAAAATCAAATGGCAGAATCAGCACGATTCCCAGAAATGTATGATTTCATTTTGTCTTTTCTATTGTTAGATTCTTCCAATACATTTGTAATCTTAGAAATTATTCAACAAACACACTAATCTATCAACATGAATTTAGCAGAAAGTCCACCTAAATTTCTAAGTATATAGATAATAATGAGCATTGATGAAGTAATTTTGCCATCTGTTTAAGAGGAGGCGTAATTGATCATTCGATATCTATCTGTGCAAAAGTTCAGACTCTTTCTCAGATTTATCAAGTTGAAATAAAAAGATGACAAGAACCTTCATGATAAGAGAATAAAAAAAAGTGAAAATAACAAACAGTGATCAATCTCATAAGTCCAATAAAAGAATACGAATCTTGAATAGGGCAAAAACACGGACCCCTGAAACATCACAGATGGGATCAGGTGCCTAGGAGAGGTAAGCAACCCTGTCAACCAGTCATACCCGAAGTGAGCCCTATGTATTGATCAGGTATAAACGGAGTACTCCGTAGTCAAATTTAGTATAAAAGCAATGAGCTAACAAATGTTATAAAACATGCCAGACAAAATACGTCCCAACGATAGGTTGTATTTACAAACAAGGTCATTATAACGATCGTGGAATCAGGTGTCTAGGAGGAGTTTAGAAAAAAGATATACATGTATATTTTTTTAATTGTAAATATAACGCGATTGTGAATGTAATCTTTCTTCAAATATTCAGGATTAGTATCCAAAGTGCTATGCGTTTTAAAATTAGATATTGTAAAGGAAGGGATAATTAAAGATCGATTACATTTATTAATTTCCTCTTTTATTCAGAAAAGAAAGAAAATTAAACCAACTTAATGAAATTCCATTATAATATAAAGCTTCAGAATTATTTCATTGATTGCTATTCCTTTATTTCACGAAAAACCTGCATGACAGACGTTTGGGCATCCAGTTCTAATCAATAATCATGTGTTATTCATTGTTAAACTTGAGAGTTTCTTTTCACATTTTAGTAAGGCTTACCTGTTTACTGCGACGAATATGATCGTACACAAATAAAACAAAGCGGGCGTATTTCCGAGAACACTTTTAATGATACTTTCAAACAGACTGCTGGAGCTAATTAAAAATGGAGCTCATTACATCTAGGACCGTTGGATTTATGTCCTATCTGTGTTTTTTTTTTTTTTTTTGTGAAACTAGATCTATCAAAACACAAGATAGCCCGATCTCTACAGAAAAGATATAGCGAAAATTAAGTCTGTTCGTTTAGAGTGCCGATCGATAATTATTTTGACAGAATTCAATGACTTATTTTGCCCTTTATCTCAAGATGTCTTTGCTGTAAGAAGGTATTCTTATTTGTAATATTTATGGTAATGGACTTATGTTTTAAATATAAAATGACAAATATTTGTCGAAAGCAGATAGTTTTGCACAGACGCAAATATAATGTGGATCCAAAGCATCTTATTCATATTTGTTGTCTACAACACATATTTGTATGCGTTAACCACAGGAGATATAACACTGGAGTGTGACGATAAACTTACAGGTAAGTCAATTTATATTTCATTCAAAGAAATGAGCATGCGGCGGGTGTGACCGTGATACCTGATCCCACCTCTGATGTTTTTAGAGGTCAGTGTTTGCTCTGCTACCGAACTGTAATTTTACAATTGACTTTTGAGCTTGATTACTGTTCGTTATCTCCATATTTCATCATATATAAGGAAACATATTACATTCAATTTTTTTAGTTCTTAGTTTTGAAAGGAAAGGAATGTTCTGTTGTTTTGTTTCTTTTCTGTTTGAGTTTTTGTTATTTTGTTTCTTTGAAAGAGAAATAATAAAATACTCGAAGAATTTTAATTCCCTGTATAATTTAAGAGGTCCAAATTTAATAGCATTTTAAATGGATATTCGATGTTTAAAGTTGGATATCGCACTCCTGAAAGTATAGATATCAAACATATATAAAATAAATGGCTTAGTAAATTTGAGCAAATAACCACCTTAGTTACTATTAAACTTTAATGGTAATTTGAACGTTAAGATATGACAGATTTGATTTTTTTTTTGTAAATTGATTTTAAGAAAAGGCGAACTTGTGCTAACAAGTAGTACTTTTCATTTCTGATTGTAATAATAACACCTGTGAAAGTATCATTTTTATTCAACGAAAGTTACAGGTATGATTTGTAGTACTTCACTGTTGAAAAAGAAATGCCTTCATACTACCGGAAATACTTTTGAAGAAACAGATTTTGTGAATTCTGTCCAAACTCATTTTTTTTCATTTAATAAAACAATTAAAAAAACATATTAGAGTAGCTTCCGGGGCTTCCCCCGCCTGGGCTCCTAACCAGGGTCCTGCAGGTCGTGGACCCGTTGGGGGCCTCAAGGCAGACCCATACATCTTGCCTTTTTTGAATATAGTGAATTGTTTTTTATAGCTACGCCACTAAAATTGCACATATTTTAAAAGTAATGCCAAGCAGATTGATACTATTTTGACGTAAGTCCTTATGACTTAGGCATCATAGGTTATACGATATTAACTATTTTTTTAGCCGATCAAATGACGCGTTACAATAAAAAAAATTATATATTCATATATCTATATTTCATTTTCTTCCTCCCATCTCTATTTATCAATAAAAAACTGAAGTTACGGTGCTATTTTAATCAATAAACAATTAAGATGTACACTTTCTCCTGCCAAGCATTTATACACTCCTGAACAGATGAATCGGGGGAAAAAGTATTTATAACAGTACCAGTATAACAGCAACAGTAGCTGTTACAGTCCCTGAAACGTTCTACTTTCCCATTTTTCCGTTCGCTCACCGTTCGTTCACCGTTCGTTCAGCGTGCGTTCACCGTTCGTTCAGCGTGCGTTCACCGTTCGCTCTCCGTTCACAGTTTTGCGTTTACCGTTCACCGTGCGCTCGCGTTCACCGTTCACAAAGCGTTCAGCGTTCGCTCTTCGTTCCGTTCACTTTGCGTTCACCTTGCGTTCAGCGTTCACCTATCGTTCAGTTGTCATTGCCATTCGGAACTCCCAAGTGAAAGGACTTATCTTTTTGTAGGTAAGGAGTAACGGATTTTTTAATTTAATACTAACATATCGTCTTTGAAGAATCATTATTTCATGGGGGAAAAATCTAAGATATATATTTTTATTATTCTAACTTAGCTATTAGGTTATTTATTAAATTACTCTGGAAAAAAATGTTGTTATAAGCACATCCTGTACCTATGTAGAACGATGCTGAAATATTAAATTTAGCTAAGGCCAATGTGCAAATACTTCAAGCACTGCAACATTTTGATGTTTTGTTAAAGACGACAAATCGTTAATGGAGATATAATTATCCAAGTCAAATAATTACGCAGCAAAATTACGAAAATATTTATTTCTAATGCGGTTTTTTTTTATTCAATTACAACAGAAAATATGATAGAACTAGTTCTGAGAGTTATACATAGTACTGCCGATATCCTGCTAATTTATTATCTTTGGAGCGAATTAAATTGATAGTGTGTTTAAAGGAAATATTTATTTAAAATGTAATGCACTACAGAATATTCGCTACTATAATACATGTACATGTATGTAAAGTCTATAGTTATAGAGAAAAAAATCTTTCTTCACCGTAACTTTATATGTTTGCTATTCGATATAATTAATACCCCCCCCCCCCCTTTCCCCCTAAATTGGTTACTTAGTCAGTACTGTATTTCCAGAAAATTTTAATTAACCTGTTAAAAAAAAGTTAAGGTCTTTTTTAGAACAAAAAATTCAGTCTCAAAACAAACATGCATCTAAAAAAGTCACAAAACAATAGTAGTTCAAAATGTACACGTGTCGGCGGTGGTATTTGAAATTGGCAGAGTATGTTTCAAATTCAAGTGTTAATGCCCAATATATTTTATTCACTAATTATTCAAATGTTGGTGTCAAATCTAGAAATGATAAAAATAAATGTTATAACTTGTTGGAAATACTCGCACTTCGTCTTCGATGTGACGAAACTTTCACACCTGCACAGTGTCGAATGATTTTGATTGACAGGACAAGCACGTGGACTTCGTGTGAACTTGAAGCAGGAAAACAAAAACGAGTAATACTGTCAAACAGATGGATATGATTTGTTGATTTAAAAAAAGTTACTTTCACTGTCTAATATATTTAGAAAAAAATATCAGAGTTATTGTTTGATATAGGTGCAAACATTTAGTGAAGCCTGAAAGGAAAGGGGGGGGGCTGAAACGGAATCTCTCTCTCTCTCTCTCTCTCTCTCATTTGTCTGTTTGATAAAAATTATAACAGCATATTACTTAAATATCAAGTTCTGAAAATTGAATTTATAACAAATAATATGAATATGTATCTTTGTATTATCTTGTCTGAGTATAATCACGGCCATCTACAGATACATGTAGAAGTCTGCTCAATAAATCATCATGAAAAATAGAAATGACACATAATATATTATTGTATTAAACATTTAAAATACGAGCGTATAAATGCAAAACGTCCACTGACCTTTGTAATTAATTTTTTTTATTACTTTACATGAAATCGCCTTGACACGGAGATACATATATGAATGGTTGTTACAAGCGCTTTAATTCATTCTATAAGTCAGAACACATGCAGAAGTTTTCTCTGATTTGTTATCAAATAAGAATAAACATTTTTATTTTCCGACTAAAAAAATATCTTTTATACTTCAGCGTTCGGCGCGGCAACAATTGCAATGTTTTAATGCGTTAAAAAATCGTGTGATTAAAAACTTAATGTACATGAATCGTCTTTCTTAGGACAATTTTGGAGAATTTATTTTATTGACTTATTTATTCATTCATTTATTGGTTTACTTATTTTTTTATTATTATTTTTTTTTTGGCACCTGACATTATAATACAATAAAATAGTTTCAATGCAAGGAAAAGATCAGAGGCATTCCGAATATATCGTTCATCTTGCGTTCACCGTTCGTTCACCGTTCACTTTGCGTTCGCGTTTGCGCTCCGTTCGCGTTCTGCGTTCGCTCACCGTTCACCGTTCACACATCGTTCACCAAGTTGCGTTCAGCGTTCACACATCGTTCACTCACCGTTCGCTCTGCGTTCGTTCAGCGTTCGTTCACCGTTCGTTCAGCGTTCGCTCACCGTTCAAGTGGGAAAGTAGAACGTTTCAGGGACTGTACCAATAGGCCACAGCTATTAAACAAATATAATTTTTTCTTATGCCAAAGTAATGATAAGGTTTTTAGTCATTTTTACCATACACACTTGTGTCGTGTATATAAATTCAAATTTATTTCATTGACAATTACGATGTCTGCATACATTCATGAACATAAATAACATAAAACTAATTAACACGATTAATACACGTATATACAAAGTGACAAAAGTGACAAAAGTGAGGATAACAAAATTCAAAATACTTTAGAGTACAATCACATATTCCTAAGTATTCATCGCTGACTTTCTTTTCTGGTGTCAAAGCACTTTTTTCAAAAAACAACATTTCCTTCTAACAGTACTAGTATTTACGGAAGCCCGTTGAGGCCAGTTCAGAGAAAGAAATATTTTTTATTGCGTTTAAACGCAATAATTATTGCGTTTAAACGCAAACCATTGCGTTTAATCGCAATAATTATTGCGTTTAAACGCAAAAGATTGCGATTAATCGCAATGTATATTGCGTTAAAACGCAAAACACTTTGCGTTTAATCGCAAAAGATTGCGTTTAAACGCAATACTTTTGCGATTAAACGCAATACTTTTTGCGTTTAAACGCAATAATATTTTTGCGTTTAAACGCAATATTTTTTGCGTTTAAACGCAATAATTTTTGCGATTAAATGCAATACTTTTGCGATTAAACGCAATACTTTTGCGATTAAACGCAATAGTATTGCGATTAAACGCAATAATCTTTGCGTTTAAACGCAATAATCCTTCCTTATAAGGATTTGTTTTGCATTGAAACACAATGATACTGTAGTTTCAAAATCAAACATGAATTAGTCAAAGCTTATAATTACATGTACTAGGACCCGACACTTCAACTTTAAGAAGATCCGATTTGTTCTGTGTCTTTTTGCAAAATTTTCCAGTTTTTGAAAATTGTAATAAAACAATGGCATCCTAACAACCTGAATGTCTTAAATGTATTAGAACCCAAAACTCTTAATGAAGTCTCTGATCAATTGTTTACGTGTATCACAACTTATAGAGAAAGTTTCAGTGGTATTAATAGCACTTGTCAATTTGATACATGTAGTACACATTGATCAATTTGTTTTCATTTGATTTTGATTTTGACCTCATATAAATCCATCACATATGTTCTTGTGTTTACTGTATGCAACCATAGGAAGGGTTATGAATGTACATTGAAGTCTAAATACTTCATCATGTTGTACGTAATTCCAACATTTCCTCAGTCCTTTCCAAAAATCCCTTTATACATGATTTAAACTTGTGACTGCAACGTATGGGACAGTTTTTTTAGCAGAACAACTGACCGAAACTTCATTAGAAATGTAGAGAATAAGCATAAGACATGTCTCGTTCTTAGGATTCCTTTGAATTTACAACCCGACATTTTTTTTCTCCTCTATAAATTCTTATTAGTGATTTACCTTTCAGAGAGTGTTTGCTCGGAGAAATCTGATTCTATAAAGACAACACACAATTTCCTAATAAGTAAAAAGAGAAAGAAATAAAAGATATAAGTATGCGTGGGTCCATTGTTCTCTGCAAGGTTTGATACAAATGACTGCCTTTAAACACAAAGATTATTGCCATTGAACTCAAAGATTATTGCGTTTAAACGCAAAAGTATTGCGTTTAAACGCAAAAGTATTGCGTTTAAACGCAAAAATTATTGCGATTAAACGCAAAAGTATTGCGTTTAATCGCAAAAATTATTGCATTTAAACGCAAAAATATCATTGCGATTAAACGCAAAAATTATTGCGTTTAATCGCAAAAGTATTGCGTTTAAACGCAAAAGATTGCGTTTAATCGCAATCTTTTGCGATTAAACGCAAAGTGTTTTGCGTTTAAACGCAATATACATTGCGATTAAACGCAATCTTTTGCGTTTAAACGCAATGATTATTGCGATTAAACGCAATAATTATTGCGTTTAAATGCAATAAAAAAATATTTCTCTCTCTGAATTGGCCTCAACGGGCTTCTGTAGGATTCAATGGGCTTCCGTAAGTATTTTTATAGGATTGACAATTTTTCTGATGGGATTATCACTAGTCTAACAATTTGTTATGAGAAAAGATGGATGACTTGCAGACGTTAATTATTTTACCTAACACATCTTAATCTTGCGGTGCTTTCGATTGTTTGTCAATTGTCGCGGGAGACATTGATGGAACCGGTGATGACGAGTGTGTATAGAAACGTTCAGAAGTATTTAATAATTAATCAAGACGTTCTATTTCACTAAAGATACACGAAGGGATTTAAGTTTGATTGTATTCTAATGATATTAACAGCACGTGCATTTGACGTTTCAAATATTTCTAGTGATAAAAATTAAATTCTACAGAATGATAACTATATTATTCATTTTTTTCAAATAAAGAGAAATATTTGAAAAGTCATATGGCTGTGATTGACACTTAATTTTGTATGTGTTTTTCTTCAATTTTGATGTCCCGTACTATTTTCAGATATTATGAAATCAAATGTCATTTCAAAGAGTTATTTGCAATGTAAACAGATTAATGAAATTCTCTATATATGTTTAATATGTATTCATAACAAATATACATTATACAGTTCTCAAATGATTAAGTAATTGGCCGTTGACTGTTTCCATGCAAGCTAATGGAACCGGCAAAGTATGCTTGATTTTAAAAATAATTACCTTTTGCTTGACTTTAAAGATAATTACCTTTTTTTCAGGTATATTATATGATGATGAAGTATCGGGGAATTTTCAAAGTAATCAGAAAAATAATTGTCTATTGTACAGTGCTGATTTTTCCGAACCATATCGAGTGCTTCAAAAAGGTAACGATGAAAGTGTATTTTAAAAGATGTGTTTAGTACTGTTAACGTATTTTGTCCTCTTGGGATTAATTGAGCTATGTACGCGGGCACAAATATATTAAGCTTCAGCGATTATTTATCAAGGCGTAAATAAAAATGCATTTATGACATTTAATGGCGACACAAGAAATCCGGGTAATTTGACACTTGCGGATTGAAGTGAAAGTCAGTTTCGGCGGAATTATGACCCCGTGGAAAAAGTACTTTTACAAGTATTAAAATTTATAATGAATTATTTTGTTGTCTAGAAGAGCTGAGCAGATAAGTTAAAATATCACAAAAATGTATTCTTTTTTTTTTTTTTCTAATAAAAATATTTTTTTTTTCTTCAGCCCTGGAAATTGAACAAAGGAATTTGGATGTAATATTTGTTCCACTGTATGCCTCAAAGCTAATTCACGTCATCGCCGAACATTTTGTAAACATCACCCACTATTCTTCAGTCACTGATGGCTGTATGTCTAATTTAAACTCTCTGGAAACAGTATTGAGTACAAGCGCCGGAAAAGATCGCAATCTTATTTTCACAGTGAGCGGAAATTTTCTTGATGTTCAAACAGCAGCTACAATGTCTTTTGCAGTCTTCACAAAACTTAAATGGCATCTTTCAATCATTTTCTTCGACTCTTCTTATGGTAAGAGGAATTACGCAAACAGTTTACCAAGAAATAATGAGAATTCTAATTTTGGAACTGAAGCGTTAATTACATTATCGAGATTATTTTAACTGCCTCTGAAGGGAATTTTTTAAATGATTTTCGTATAAAAATTATGTTCTTTATCTGTATTACTGAATAATTTATAAACGCCGATGAAAAATATCTTCTTTTTTATTACAAAGTAAAATTGCTTTGAAACAATCTATTATTGTAATGTATACAAATTTCTTTTTATTAGCATTTCTTCTGGATGAATTCGCTGCAAAAACAAACAAAGAAACACATATGCAGAAGTTATACAACATAGATGACTTTTCCAACGAAGATGATGTAATGGAGCTTTTGAAAAATCTATACTCCGAATTAGCAGAAAGCCATATCAATTTTACTGTTCTTTGCAACCACGAAAACGCAAGAAGACTGTTAAGAAAGGTAAACTCTAATGTAAAAAGTAAAGATAATGGACAGTGATCGATCTAAAAAAAAAAAAAAAATCCATCAACAATACAAATATGTGAAGAGGGCATAAAACACGGACCCCTGGTAATTCCAGAGATGGTTACAGGTGCATAGGAGATTAGTAAGAATCCCCTGTTGACCGGTCACACCCGCCGTAAACCATATGTATTGATCAGGTAGACGGGGCTAACCGTAGTCAATTCAGTACAAAAACAAGGGCGTAACAACTGGTAACAAGTCAGGCAAAATACGACCCAATGATAGGTTATATTTGCTAACAAGGTCATTTCAACGACCATAAAACTTACGAAATTCTGACTTAAAACGAGACTGTTGAAACCCCTGTAACATCAACTGATCATTGAGTAGCCTGCCTCGCTTTAAAAATTAATCGTACTCAGAGCAAGCTCTTGGGTAGGGAATAAGATGGGAGACACAAACACTATAAGCAGGTGATAGTGGAATATTACTACATAATTAAGGAAAGTTGACGATGGAAAAGCTACATTAAGTCATCTCGTTTATCATACAATTTAGTTGCTATTTGGCCTTTATCGTCTATAGTCATCTAAATATGAAACAGGTGTGGCGGACTCTGTCTTGTTTTTTATTTCAAGTTCACTGGAATATATCGAGTCGACATACGAATGAAAATAATTATTGTTAATTGATAAAACATCGTCGATATATCTGAATATCAAGTTGAAGGCCACAGCTAGTGTTTACCTCTTCTTATGTTTTTGAATGAATTCTACTTCATAAGAATATACAAACAGGTCAGCTAATAAAGGAGCACAGTTATTGCCCATCGTTAATCCCTACACTTTGTTGGAAAACTTGGTCTCCGAAGACTACATAAATGTTGTCAATGAGGAACTCCAGCATCCTTTTAATATCAGCTTCAGAGTACTTTTGTGTTCAATCAGAGTGATTTTTAACGAAGTAATTTTGCTGATGACCAATCACAAGATGTGAAAATCTCCGAGTTCCGTTTTTATTTAACTAACTAAGTGTTGCTCTTAGGTAAAGAGTGGATGTGTGTCTTAGGGGGTATATGTCATCATATATCTAGAAAACTAAATAATAATTGTAGATTCTATTGCGCTTTGATACCGGTTAATCGGGAGGGAAATTTGCTTTGCTTTGAATATTAAAATCATTGTACTCAAGTTTTTAAATCGGAACTTATTGTTTTTATTCATTAGGGTTTAAAAATTCATTATTTACGAAAATGACTCTTAAAAATAAATTAAAAGGTTACAAATTTAATTGTTTATTTTTTTCCATAATCCTGTTATCACTTATTACAGCGTATCCTCCTTCAATGAATAAAAATCTGTAAAATGGTTTGTCGTGTCTTGCCACCTTTTTGACATTTAATAATTTGTTTGAAATTCTCAAAAGTATTATTAACAATGGCATTTAACCTTAGCAGACAAAAAATATAAATGTGAGAAATAAAACAATTTTGTAAAGGGAAAAAATCCAATTTTCCAGTAACAAAACTTTGACTTAATAGAAAAATCATGAAAATGGGTGTGAAAGCGCCACTGACCTAACTTAACCGGAATAGGGAATGTTCAGACAAAATAACCATGGTAATGCACCCCTATACAATATTTCAGACTTTAACATTCAAGGAGGACACTTATTTAATAATTAAAAAACTTTAGTAAACTTAAATCTATTGAAAGTATTTTTCTTTAAATTTATTAAGTTGCTAGCTCTATTGACTTGGATTTCATTTCGCCAATTAATTCACATCATCCTCAACCCGTGCTAGCAAGGGTTAATGTCTAGTACATGTAACTGATATGAGTTCTTACCCAAAACCTTCACAGTCTTATATAAGGATAAACTAGCTCACGCTCAGACGTATGAAATCTTTCAGGTTATTGAATATTCATGCCACGAAGGATATGGCTAAATATTGTTAGCCTCTTTGTTATGGTAAAATCAATATGGTTGCCCGCTTTTCCAACTCAGGATCGGTGAACTTGTAAACCATAATAAAAAAAACAAATTGTGTTTTTATTTTTTACTTTTTGTCCTGTAACTCCACCAAACAAAATACAGTTGAACCTCGTGTTCGAACTTTGATATCTCGAATATTATGGATATGTCGAAGTGATTCGAAAATCTCAACCACATATTTCTATAGTATTTAACCCTTGATACCTCGAATCCTCAGATATCTTGAATTTCGAGATTAGAAGGTTTGATTGTTGTTCATTTTTTACCTAATATTGGGATTGTATAATGATCGGATCATTTTGAGGGAAAATAAGATGGTTTTAAGATGTTTAGGTTGATATTTAGGCGAGTGCCTTTGACCAGACCAAAGAGAATTTTCGCCATACTGCTCTTCGGGATCACTCATCCTGGATTGTTGTGACAGCGGCATCAAGTCTAAATGAGGACATTGATACAAGCACCTCCCTGCTCGATAACGTACTAATACTTAATCTTTGGCAGGAGGAAGCAATGAGTAATGTAAAGGTAACAAAGACTTCAGTTTCCCTATATGCAAAAATATTCATCACTTCTTCACCTAGTTTTATTTTATAACTGCTTATTCTTATTATTTTTAACCATCATCGGACTTTTGTAGAACTGCAGTACCAATAACAAGGCACAGAATTATTATATATACACACTAATGTGGAAAACAAAAACACAGTGTTCTCCAAAATGCAATTTGTATAGACAATTCGAGATAATTGGATGCATGAAACCAAATGGATCTCTTCAAACAAATTCTGTGTTTTTCCCAAATTCCAATTATGGATTTAATAGACGACACATGTTGGTGACAACTAAATGGGTAAGCCAAAACCTCGGCATATTCTGCTTTATCGCAATTTGCTGACCACAGAAATACAAATTACATTTAAAACATAATTTTCGTATAAACATGATTTTAATCGTTTTTTTTTTTTTTTTTGAAACATTGTTTTCAGTGGCCACCATTTACAGAAAGAATACAGGAAGACGGGAAAACAGTTGATTACGTTGGATATTGTATGGATCTTCTTAGAGAAATGGGAAAAGCACTAAATTTTACGTGAGTTTGTTTTACTGTCAAATTTTCAAACGAAATTATTGCGTTGTTCATGCATATGTACATATAAAAATTTCATTCATCAAGATATACTGTGACAGAGCCCGTGGATGATGAATTTGGTAGAATGCTGGACAATAAATCATGGAGTGGCATGATTGGTCAGCTGGAGAGACGGGTAATATACACTGCCAATTTTCCAGAAAAAAAGTATTATCTTCATATAGTGATTTAAAACACTAACATCAAAACATTTTTACACAGAACTTATGCAACACTTAAGCAAAGTTCCAGTATAACATTAAAAAAACAAAAGGTTCATATTCAAAAATGCATTATGTATGCGCACTGTATATCAAAATTACACAAAACTCAGCATTCAGATTAACGTAAAAATCAAATATGTACAATAGTCCATTTCTGATTGACCTTGTTCTACTTTCTGCTCCTTTCTTTTACAAGAGAATCGCAAGAAGGGAAAGAATTCGAAAATCCCTTTCTAGCTAGTAAATCAAGAAATTAAAAAAAAAAAAACTTGTAAAAAATTTCCAAAGCCACTGTATTCTTAAAGGCTAAATTAAATAAATTTTCTTGTATTGCCTCATTTTCTAAGATTAAAGGATTAGAGATCATAATTAAAGCGTGAAGATATTAAGATAATTCCCAATACTGTTCATCTCTGAAAAGAAGGTTTTGTAAAGTATAATGTATGAATAAATCAAGGAAGGTGAAACACAAGCATGAATGAATGAAGAAAAGTGCAACTCAAGCATGAATAAATGAACATATTCCATTGATATTTTGGAAAGGGTATATCTACAAAGCAAGGTCCATTCTTATATATTTGATACTTCATTTAATACTTTGATTGGTCGCCCGCGTGACACAGTGGTTACAGCGTTTGCTCTAGAGTTGCGGAGTAAGTTGATCCTTACGTCGCGGGTTCGAATCCCACTGCGGGACGTGGAGGCCGGTCCTTCGGATGAGACCGTATAAACTGAGGTCCCGTGTCGCAGTAGGTGCTGGCACGAAAAAGATCCCTCACTGCTCAATGGCCCTGAGTGCCGAGTATAGGTCAAAATTTGCAGCTCTCAATTGGCCTGTGGTGGCATCTCCATATAGGTGAAAAATTCTCAAGAGGGACGTTAAACAACAAACAAACAAATACTTTGATTGACTATGAAACAATTTCTTTCACTGATTCTTTGATTTTGTTAGCCTAAGGATACTTTAATACTTTAATTTGACTGGATTATCTTTATAACTTTACTCTGACTAGAACTTGTTTGGAGAATTAGAGCATTATTATTTCTCAAAGTCCATGGCAATGATAATGTTTGGAAATTATAATACGAATTTGCAAGCGAAATTTCTTATTAACGTAAAAAAACTGCTTTTGCGAATAGGAATAAATAAAATATAACGATGTGAATTTCAAAGTAAAACTACTTTGATAAACTATGGCAAACACTTTGAATTACTATAGTAAAAGCTGTGATACTTTAATTACTTTGGCAAAAAGTTTGGTTCTATTTCATAGTAAACTATTAGACTACTATACTAACCATTAAGTGTTAAAAGATAATGTATTTTTATTAAAATTCTGTGAACATTGTTCCGGGGTAGGTCAAGTTGCTTAAATCCCCCTCCCCCTTCAATGTATGCTCAGACATCCACAATGAATTATGCGCTCTTTTGGTACAATGAAATTCCTAAATATCTTCAAACCACTTTACAGGAGGTAGATTTAATGGTTGCCACTACTTCAATCCGACCAGACCGAGAGAAAGTGATGGACTTCACATTGCCTTTTTATTACGACACATCGACACTCCTCATGAAAAAACCTGACCCCAATGAAAAAAAGTTGTTGATCCTTGCCAAACCTTTACGTTGGGAGGTGAGTATAAGTCAAGTATGGAGATGTTGCAGTGGCACTGAGACCAGATATGGTTTTCGGTCGGATAGGTTCTACATAGAACATGCGAATTTTCCTCCAACTCAAGCTCCTTATTGTCTTTTGAGAATTAAAGCTACGAGACCTGAAAAAAAATCTTGTAACTGTAGAGGACATATTTTAGAACTTATTGTCTCCATTCGTAAAATAATTTTCTTCGAAACTTCTTTTTTTGCATTATTCACTTCACAAAAATAGCAAGGCAACCAATTAAATGCTCACAAAAACTAACATGTTTGAGACCCCCCTCCCCCCCCCCCCCAGTACATTATTCGGAAGTTATGAAAGATAGTGTGTCTATCGGTCTCACCTGCGTGAGCCCTCTTTTTGATCGGGTAACAGGGTAACAGTCATAATGATATAAAAACAATGACCTAACAATTGATGGAAAAATGTCAGTCAAACTCTCAAACAACTCTCAAACTAGGTCATAATAACGCCATAGAATTTGCAAAATGCTAACTTTAAACGTGATAATTGAAAACATCAATTCATTTGTTAGTATCCTGATTCTGTTTAAAAAGAGATTGTTTTCAGAACATGATCTTGAGTATCGAATCGGTTGGAAAACATAAACACTATATGCATATTACGATGGAAAAGTTGAATCATCCTGTCATACAATTTCAGTTGTTAGGTGACCAACAACGTCTAAAGTCAGTAATTATAAAATACCAACTTATGAAACAGATGTGGTAAATTTTATTGTGCACTTCATTTCGATTTTACTGGAATATATCGAACTGATTATGAAGGAGAATAATTATAAATTAACTGATAAAACCTTCGATAAAAATCGATATATCGATATAATGAAAGCCACTGCAAGAGTTTTCCTTCTCATTTACAAGGTTTGAATTAATTCTGCTTCATAAAAATATAAAGACAGTTTGGCAATTAAACAAAGGAACGCAATTAATGCCTATCGATATTCCAAAAGAATGTAGGATGTAGTTTCATTTCCTGTTCTTATTTAAGAATTAATCTTTAAAAAATCAACAGGAATGTCGAAATTATCCTTATTAACAGAATGATTTACATAAATTTTTAGTCCTTTGGTATAAATTAGGTACCTGTCGATAATTAATCACATGTTGACCAATAATCATGTATATATTTCCTAGCATCTGGCAGATAATTCCACATGCAATGAAACAGCTTGTATATTTTCCCTAAGAATCATACTCAATACTACTTAGCTTGAATAGGTGTTTGCATTATTTATTACAACATAAGTTATAAATAATGCATTAAAACTGTAATCCTGAAAGTACTGTAAACCAACTATTCTTCAGTATGCTGAATTCTCGGTAAACCGTTCACCCCTCTAGTTCGGCCAATTTTATTCAGACGGGCAGCTGGCCGTTTGGAGAAGTTTAACCGTACTTGTGTATAGAATCAGAATGGTTGTTAATGAAGTAATTTTTTGAATTATGAAAATTTTTGTTGCGGAAGTAGCTTTCTTTGATGTCAAAAAGCCTGTTCTCTAATTTATCGTGAGGAATGAATCTTGGGGATGTTCATGCCGTATTAAATTTTGTTAAGCGAAAAACTTGTACGGGTCTTAGATAACCTTAAAATAAATCCCGATAAGTTAATCTACTTGTAATGTATGAGATAATTTCTTATTTCAAAGTAATTAATTGATGGTTTGATCAAAGTACATTTCCATTCAAATTGCTATAAACATTAATAGTGCACTTTTCATTTGAAATTCAAGGATAAAAGAATTTTCAATTATTGATTTCATATCTTGAAGAACACATCAAAAACGTTTCAAAAAAATTTGTTTTTAATTGATTTAACAGCTCAGCCTGTCAATAATGAAGGATGTATTACATCAAAAATATTCTCTTTGCAAACATATAAAACGGATTGAATGTTTTTTGAGAAAGTAAAGGAGAAAGTCTTAAGTGTGTTATTTTAACTGTTCGACTGTTCAGGGATCTCAGTATTTTTTAAACAAATTTCTTAGAATCATTCGTTTTGAGCTTTACGTTTTGAGCATTACTTTGTTATCCTACAAACCTGAGTTTAAAATATATTCATTTGACTTAACATTTATACTTTACCGCTTTTTGACTCGATTGCAAAAGTGCAGTTTTCAGGAAATGTTTCATTTTTACCTTACATTTAAGCATTCAAATATTATTTTTTGAAAGATTAGTCTCATAGTAGCCACAACTGGTGCCTTATGAATATCTATTACACACATGGTTCAACCTATGATACTACATCTGTCAAACAAGAGGCCCAAAGAAAAGAGCCTTAACGGTCATCTGTAATATACATCAATGTAAAGGATCCATACAAGTATAAAGCAAAATAAACTGATAGATCAAGCTGTTGCCCAAAGGCAATAGAGACTGGATGATCAGTGATCAACAAAATAATTAGTCTAGTACTCAGTAACAAATCTAACAGTAGATTTATTATCTTGCCTGCCCTTTGCCCCCCCCCCCCCCCTTCCCTCCATTTGCCTATTTCTACATCCTGACTAAACAGAACAATAGTGCTTGAGCACTATTGGAAACCCAATCTCATTCCCTCTCACATTGGCCTCTCTTGTTCTTTGAAGAGCATTTAATGTACTAATGTATTTTAAACTCATTATTTATCTATTATTTGCAACTCTACCTGACCATTTAAAACTATGAAAGTACTTCTTATATTTTATATAAAAAAATCTTGTATAATTATCTTATTCAACTGACCTTCTAAATACATTATTTACAGTGACTAGTTATCATTGGTGAAGAGCAAATGGGGATAACTTTTCTCAGTAACTACAAATTAATAGAGGTTTGACCAGGACCATGAGGTCCAGAATTTGAAAAATCTGGGAACCATTCCTGCTTATTACAGCTTTGTACCCCGTTTGCCTTATAAATGCCCAAGAGCAGAGAAGATTTTCATAGAATATAGCATTTACCATAGATTCAACACAGATCCACCCTAACACCAGAACCCCTGATTCGGGAGCTATGAAATTCACAATTTTGAAAGAGTTGCGCGTCTTTACCGTGCACTTAGGTTGTATTCTTAATACCCTGGAGCAGACAAGAACATTTTAAATATTTAGTGTATTTTCACTATATTATCAATAAAGAGCCCCGCCCAAACATCAGGGGGATCTAGATTCAAGGAACGAGAAGTTCAGATTTTAGAAGAGAAACCCTTGCTCATCATAACCATGCTCTCAGTATGATTTCTTAAAGTACTAGAATCATTGTGCTATTGATAAATTGTGAGTTCTGCATTTAATTCGCTTTCCAAGTATCGAAAATCAACTCATGTTGGAGACGGCGAAATTTCCAGTTTTCGTAATGGCGCCGGTTCTGACGTTTTCCTGGCATGTAAAATATCAAAAAAAAAAAAAAAAAAAAAAAAAAAAAAAAAAAAAAAAAGCCTGGAAAACGTCAGATATTTCGGACTAATATATTTAGTGCAGAATTATGATAGCAAAGGTGACAAAATTGTTAAATTTAAGGCCCCTGGGTCAGGAGTTCTAATTTTTGGCAGGATTTTATTGATTATACAGTGAAAATGCATTAATTCTTCAAAAAATCTTCTCTGCTCTTTTTAGCAGATAATGTAATTTAAGTGCATGGTTATGATGAACAAGGGCACCTCTTTCAAAATAATGAATGTTATAGCCCCTTGGTCAGGGACTCTGGTTTTAGGACAGGGTTTTATAGTTTAAATATTGAAAATGCAAAAATTCTTTAAATATATTCTTCTCAGGCCCTGGGTATTAGCAATTTAAGTAATTGTATGATTGTGATAAGCAAGGATGCCTCATTCAAAGTTATGAATTCTATATCCCCTGCGCCAGAGGTTTAGGTGTAAGGCGGGGCTCTGTTTAATGAAATATGAAGATAACGAACAGTATTCAATCTCAAAAGTTCAATGAAAGGATACAAATCAGGAGCAGAACAAACACAGACCTCAAAATTTAGAGGTGGGATTAGGTGCCATGGAGGACTGAGCATCCCCTGCCGACCGATCACACCCGCCGTGTGCTCCTTGTCATGATCGGGTAACAAAAACCGGAAAAATCCTTAGACAGTTCAGTGTATAAATAATTGCTAACAATTAGTATGACTCAATGATTGTATGTGCTGACAAGGTCATTGTATCGACCGAAAAACTTGCGAAAAGATGATTTCAAACGAGACTGTTGATATCCTTGTTTTGTCAACTTGTTTGTCAATAGCTTGCCTCATTTTAGAAATTGTTCATACGTAGATTATGCTCTAGCGTATCGAATCAACTGAGAGACATAAACCCCATATGCAGGTAATAAAGATATATTGTTACATAAGTAAGGGAAGTTGACGATTGAAAAGTTGAAGTCAGCACATTTATCATAAAGCTTTGTTGTTAAGTTACCATTAACGTCTTTTTCTAGTAAAACATCTAAATATGAAACAGATGTGTCAGAATCTGTGGTGTCTTTTATTTCAAGCTCACTGGGATATATCGAGTCGACAAATGAATGAAAGTGACTATTGTTAATTGACAGTACGTCGTTGATAGATTGTGAAAATGCATTCATTCTATGAAAATCCTTTTCTCTAGTATCGATGAAAAGAAAACACCACTCCACATTTTGATACAGGACTTGCAAGATTTTACAATGCACGAAATGAAAACAAATCTCGACACTCAGATAAAATGTTTTCATCGGACTGTGTAATTTATAAACGAACCATAAAACGATGTTGGTGAGTATTAAAAGTATTGTACTATTGATAAGTTGTGAGATTGAAATTTAATTCTGTTCGCAAGTATCGAAAATCAGCCCGAGAATGCCGCCTTCGATTGGAGGCGGTGAATTCCCAGTTTTCATAATGGCGCCGGTTCTGACGTTTTCACATAAAATATCAAATTCATTAAAAAGCCAGGTAAACGTCAGATATTTCAGACTATAAGTATATTTGCTAAATACCCACATTTTCACAGTTTCTCACTATATTATCAATACAGCCCAACCCACCTCCTCAACAGAACCCCTGTGGCCACAGTTTTAGAAGAAGCACCTTTTCTCACCATTACCACACGCTTATTTCATCTGCTAAATATGCACTAAGCCCCACACTAACACCAGAACCACTGTCCCAGAGATCATGAATTTTCCAATTTTGTAATTTTGTAATCTCTCTTATCATTACTATCTGCTTAGTTTGTATGTATTATACCAGTAGCAGAGAAGATTGTCAAACAAATAATGGATTTTCACTATATAATCAATAGATCCTTCCCCTTCCCATGCAGATTTTACAATTTTGAAAGAGGTTCCTTGCTCATCATAACAATGTCCCTTGTTTATCAGCTAAATAATCAAGGGGAGAGAAGAAGGTTCTTTAAGATTTGCTATGCATTTTTACTATATTGACATCAGAGCCCCACCTTTACTCAAAAGCCCTGACCCCGAGGTGTAATGTAAATCTTAATTTTGTAGAAGGCTTAATGCTCATTACAATCATGCCAACAGTTTGACTGCTTGGTGTCCAGGAGAAAAGAGAAAGATTTTTAAAGATTAGCTTTACTGTTGATGTTTAGCCCCAGGCCCAGGCCCCAGAGAGGCAGGGACCACGAAATTCATAATCTTTACACATTGATGCTTTATACCAAAATTGGTTGAAATTTGTTGAGCAGTTCAAAAGAACAAACTGAAAATGTTAAGAAGTGTACGACCGACGAACGAAGCACAATGGCGGACAAAACAGATAGGAACAGGTCATCTGAGTGACTCAGGTGACTTAACAAAAATAATTCAATGCTTATATTTACATTTTTTGAACCCCTATATTGTTTGAAATTCTAAAATTCCAGTCAAATCCTTATGGGCTTATGGATATGATGCAATTAATGGAAGAGCATTGGAACATTTAAGAAAACAAAAGTGTACACAATGTTGCAAGATTGTGATTTTCCATTTTTTGAATTTTTCGGTAAATTTGATAGTTGTTTTTAAGTATAAACAATCCAATATGACTCGTTCGTAAAAACTAAATTGTTCTAGTAATTGGGTCTTGTATGTTACCAGTAGGTAAAACTTGAAACTGTCTAATATTTTTTATTAGAAGAAAAGAAATACAATGTAAATATTGTATTTTATATAGTACACATACAAGATGCTGTTACCTAATCTGAGGCAAAGCCTCTGATAAGCTTTTCTGATCAAAGTTTGTCCGTCTTTTGTCCGTCTTGCTGTTCGTTTGTCCATCTGAAGAACAAGTACACGTCTGCATATTGATAAATAAAACATTTAAGTCGTTTGGATTGACTTTATCAAGTTATAGACTATTGGGTTAGGAGAGGGTTCAAAGCTGGGATCGAATTTTGTAATTAAGAAACAATCAGTAATCTAAGAAATACTCCCCACAAGAGCATGGTCTTTATATTTTTATATTGATATTCAGTATTTACATATAGTATGAATGTAGGTTTGGTTTACTTGTAACTCCTTTGTGCTACAATATGGGGCTACATATAAGGTGGGCCAGAATATGGGATCAAAACTTTTTGTTTGAATATAGAAGGAAGAAATTTTTTATATCTTCTCCTGAGGAACAGCAGGGTCAAGGTGACTCAGGTGAGCATTATTGCCCATGGGTCTAGTGTATCTGTAGGTGATGCTATGTACAGGAGTGGTGCTGGTTGTGTGTGGATTGTTTTTATGCCTGACTGAGCATATTTCCCCTTACTACATAATACACGGAAACAGAGGGAAACAGGATTTCCAACGGTCATTTTGGTACATGTTTGGTGCTTTACTTACTCAAGGTTAGTCACAAATAATAACCGTATGTGTGTTCTAGGGGTTAAGGTTAAGGCCAGCATATATATATTGCATGCATACTATTTTCTAAACGTAGTCACAAGAATCAGTGGTGGGTCCAGCATTCTTGAAAGGAGGGGGCGACCAGTTGGGGGTCGGGTAAGGTCCAAGGGTTTTTAAAGAAGTTTTTTAAAACAGTTTTATAACTTATTTTAACCATATTTTAGGTATAATTAATACAATATCCCATACCAAAAAAAGATAGATTTATCATGTATTTTTTGGTCACAAAAGGGGGACCCGGACCCCCTCCTAATCCACCAGTGAGATTTTTTTGTTAATGTGTCTCTTTCTTTCGGCCATATTTGTATCAACTGAAATCGTACAAAACAGAGTCATATTACATGTATTATATGTTTTTTTCTTAAAAATTCTTTTTTCCAAGGTGGTGAAAGTGTTCCAAAGTCACCAAGTGGCAGGACACTCATTAGTGCGTTTTGGTTATTCTCCATCGTTTTAGTTGGGACCTACAGTGGGAATCTTATTGCTTTCCTTACCGTTCCTCTGGATAAACCTCCTTTTAATTCCCTGGATGAAATGATTGCCCAGTCGGAATACAAATGGGGTACCATAGGGGGTACGTTCTTCGTGACATGGTTCAATGTAAGTTTGAATTTATATGAAGAACAAGCATATTCATTTATCACCGGTATAAAGCTTTATAATTAAATCAAGTTATACTTAAAAATGATTGATAAACACTTGCTGAAATACCAGCCATGTACATGTACGTTAATTTTTTCATTAAAAAAAAATGCTGTTCACGACTTTACCAGACAACGCTCGTTAAATTGTCAAATCTTAAATTATGTTCAAATATAAATACAAGCAGTTAAATCATGACGCTAAATTTTCTTTAAAATAGGAATTATAAGTTTAAATGCTAAAAGAAAATTAAAACAAAAACATGTATAATGCAATAATGCAATTGCAGACATCAACAGTTGAAACATTACAAGCTGTGTGGGCAGGAATCAAAAGGTTCAACAAGACTGATCCCGAAGTTCTGAGCCCAGATCCCAATGTTCACATAGCAAAAATGTACAGAGAAAAATATGTGTACTTCGGCGATAAAGTTTATATGGATATTCGGAAATCGAACAGGTGCGAGCTCATGACAGCAGAGGAAGAAATTCCCAACAACTATTATGCAGTAGGACTTCCCAATAACTCCTTGTATACCAAAATATTTTCGGATCAGTAAGTTTAAATTCATTTTAAAGTACTTACTGTTATCAAAATAAAATCTAGAATAATCCCTATTCAGTGTTTTTGAGAGTTGTGCTCTTTGATTTTTTTTGCCATATTTTGACACTTTTTTTAAAAATACATGTACCGTAACTTACGGTCGAGAAGATTGAGTTTTCCCCATGTTTTGCTGATTCTGTGGTTATCTACTTGTATATCAGCAGTTTTTATCTTCAATATTCATATTCTATATTTAATCATGAAGCTCAACTATTTATATCTAAAAATAAAATGCCAATTTTTGTTCAATTCAAGCCACAAATTCTTTGCAGAGTGTGTTTCTGAAACACTAAAAAAAAGAAAATATAAGAAACCAAAGATCTATGAGAAGTAATTTTATATGTCAAAAAATATTAAAATACTATTCTGATAGTGACTAAATACTGTTATTCTTTCAGAATTATATCACTTCAGGAAGGCGGAATCATGCAAACATTTAAGGAAAAACATTGGCCAAAATCTATATTCTGCTTTGCACCATCTGGGCTTCAGTCCCGTCCGATCTCTCTCATTGACCTCCAGGCTGCTTTCTATCTCATAGGTATAGGCATTCTGATGGGATTTATTGTTCTGAAGTTGGAGTTCATACTTAGTTGGCTTTCAAAGAAATGCTGTCATCAGACACATGAAAAATGTGTTCACTTGAGAACTATTCCGACCAATCAGGACGTATTGGATGCCATTACAGAGGAAAATATCGTATCTGATCCCATTGTTGAACTTTCAGACGAAAAAGACGAAACTATTATTTTTAGTCATTTTATCCAGTTGTGATATACATATAATGCACTTTTATACCTCACCATAGCAAAAGACTTAGATAAAAATTTTTGATTTTCAAAAACCAGTAACATTAAAATGTGTATCTTCTACACTTTATACAGTTCTTCTCGATAAGTTTAAAACCAGGGGTCATATGCATAAAATTTCGTAAGTTCCCTAAGCATATACTTAAACACGTGTACTATTATCGGGATCCTGCTCAGCAGATTAAAACTTAACATTGTGACTTGTAACCGAGCGGATGTTACAAAAATAATCAAAAATGTTTACAAAAATAATATTCCTAAATTTAGACTGAGCTACTTGTTCAAAAAGTGATTCGAGGGAAAGCTCAGATAACTTAATAATAATAATAATAATAATAATATTTTATTTAAAGAAGGTAACTCGATTAGTGGAAGAACTATTCTTCTCCGGGGCCTTCTGTAGACAAAAAAATAATATACATACATATACAAATACACACAATCAATAAATAATCATGAATTATTGCGACATTGTTTTACATATTTTTTGACTTGGTGCTTGAAGGCATTGAGTGTTGGAGACATTTTTATATATACAGGTATGTCATTCCATAACATAGCACCAGAGTATTGGAAGGAATTTTCAAAGAGTTTACATTTATGAGCTGGTACACACAGGTCTAAGTTGGATTCAGATCGAAGATTGTATCGATTATTATACTAGAAATCAAACATATTATCTAAATAAGTAGGGTTAGAGTTAAACAGTGATTTATATAACAAAACATATTTATTTACAGTAAGTTGCTCATACACTTTGAACCAATCAAGTTTCTCAACGAGAGGTTGTGAGGGCGCATCAGGGGGAGCATCTAAAATATACCTTGCAGCACGTTTTTGAAGCTTATGAACTCGGTCAAGATTTGAGTGAGATGTATTACCCCACACGGTTAAACAATAATCAATTGAAGGCATAATATAAGCATTGTAAAACAGTCTGCGCGTTTGAATAGGAAAAAACTTTTTAATTCTACGGAGGGCAGAAATTTTACGTGACAGTGTTTTACACACACAGTCAATATGTACATTGCATTGTAAGGAATTATCTAAATAAACTCCAAGGATTTTTTCATTTGATACAATGTTTAATTTTTGGTTTGATGCGCATAGATTAAGTTCATGCTCAGAGAAATTTGATCTCTTTTGATGCGTATCGACTAACATGCATTTAGTTTTTGTAGCATTTAGAACCATTTGATTCTGAGAACACCATTTTTCTTTACAAGCTATATCCGTTGATAATGCATCTACAATAGTATGGGAATCTTTGCTGGATGCATGTAAAGTGGCATCATCTGCAAATAAGTCTATTTTGGATTTTGTAATATATAATGGAAGGTCATTAATGTAAAATAAAAACAGAAGAGGTCTTAGTATAGAACCCTGTGGGACTCCCGCTGTGACTTGCTGATAAGATGAATGTTTGTTGGACAGATGGACACTTTGAAGTCTGTCACTATTAAAGTATGATCGGAACCATTGTAAAGTTATTGCATCAAAAGTATAACATTGTATAGTTTTTTAAGTAGAATATCATGATTTACACGGTCAAAAGCTTTACTTAAGTCAAGAAACACAGTACCAACAAGTTTTCCTTTGTCCATTTCATTTAACCATTCATCTATAATTTTTGTAAGTGCTGTTTGGCAAGAATGTAGTTCTCTGAAGCCTGATTGTGATTCTACTATAAGATCAAAGTCAGAAAAAAGAGATCGTATATACTTTGCCACATGTTTTTCAATAATCTTGGATAATGTTGGTAAAATGGAAATGGGTCTATAGTTATTTGAATAATCTGTTTCCTTTTTTATAGACTGGAGTAACTTTTGCAAGTTTAAAACTCTCAGGGAAAATGCGAGATATGATACTTGAATTTATCATATGGATCACAGGTTTATGTTTTATTTGTGAAGTAAGTTTCAATAGACGTGGCCCGATGATAGCGACATTTGAAGATTTACTAATATCTAGTTTATTGAGAAAAGATAGTACTTCGTCATGACTTATAAGCGGAATACCAAACATGTCTGTACCCAATTTAGACTTTACAAAATCCGAAAGATCGGTAAAGTCGTTTTCCTCCTTACTTACGCCTGCAAGAAGTTCTGCAGAAATATTTGAAAAATGAGAATTAAACATTTCAACTATTTCTTGATCCTTTGTGATATTATTATTTTTTTCAAGTGCGGTTGAAATATAATTATGTGATTTAGAAGCTAAACTGTTTAATACATCCCACATCTGTTTTTGATTTTTGTTTTGTTCTGTAGTTGTTTTGTAATAACTTATCTTGGCGTTTTCAATTACTGCTTGCAAACCTTACAAAGAGAAAGTATTTGCAAAAACTTTGGGACGGGGCAATCATCTATGTTTCAATTGAGTCTAACTACAGATAAAATAATATAGAGAGCTGAACAAATACAGAAGAATATTTACCTGTCTCTTAACGAACTAAATGAGGAGGTTTTGCAATAACCTTTAATTTAAAAGCTTATGCAATATTCTTACGTAAATAACCTCGTCATTTTGTTTAAGAATCATTGCTCGCTTATATAAACTCATGACTAATATATTATCTTAATTGATCAGAAGAATGCTTATAAATAATTGAATATTTCTTACTGAAATCAAGGATACATGAAAGGCGAAAAAGGCATTCATCATGGATGACACAACAATTGTTCTTTTATTGCCAGTCATCATGGTAACGTTTATCCTTCTTTCTTGTTTAATTTGCCATGTACGATGCAGGGAGGTTGAAAGGTCTTTTTCCACAACTGAGCAGACGGTATAATACAATATACATAGCGTCGGGAAAAGGTAATATTTGCAACCTTTTAGCATATTCAGATCCATGTTTTTTTTAATATGAAAATTGCTAAAATTGGACAGTGTATGCATTATGAAAGAAACGAAAATAATTTTTTGAATAAAATTATACCTCCCTTAACTGGAGGAGAAAACAGTATAGAACCTGGCATGCCTGTCTGTGTGGCCTAGTCATTAACGTTCTGTGTTTTGTTGCTGATGACTACGTTGTGATCTTGACTGGAATTCACATTTTTAAATAAGCAATTAAGGTCAAAGGGCATGAGATACTGAAATCATGTTCAACCAGTATCTTTTACATGTTTGCTTATGAAGAAGACTTAGGGAAAGAAGTTTTTAGCTCTTAATATCAGAGATTCTTTATTTCCATATAAGAAAATGTTATGATTTTAGTGATGCAGAAAAGTTTAACTTTATAAATATTTCTTTTGGTCTGTTTTTTTTTTGCGCTGAAGCTATAATTTTTTTTATATCCATTTTATTACGTTGAGTTGGTCTTCCAGGAAATTATAATTTGGATTATGAAGCCAGAATTTTATATCAAAGCTTTACTTTTTTCCTTAAAAGCTTTAGAGATTTACTTTAATAGAGGATAAAATATAGTAACCTCAGTTACACACTGAAATGTTTACAGATTTTCCCGTTTTTGTCAATTTTTCCGATCATGACAAGGAGCACACGGCGGGTGTGAGCTGTCGGCAGGGGATGCTCACTCCTCTATGGCAACTGATCCCACCTCTTGTGTTTTTATAGTTCCATGTTTGTTCTGCTCCCGAGATATATTGTTTTAATGGATTTTGATGTTGAAAACTGTTAGTTATTTCCATATTTCGGAAAAAGAATTTCAGTGATGCTCATTTCATGTGCATAGCCAGCATACTCCTGACTTCATTTAGAATAGACTTGTAATAGTCTTTTTATGAATAAAATTTGTAGAGGGAAGAAAAATGTCTATTACATTCATCTTCAATATCCCGATATTTGTGTGATTATGTGCTTGAATATTCATTCAATATATATACAGTATATATTTTCATTTCAATATTCAGATCGAATGTTTTTAATTTTGCACATTTTACAGGCAGATTTGATGACGGGAAACAGGAAGGATTGATTTACAGATATTATTTTGTAGCTCTGAATTGTTTCAGTGTCCTATATGGCATTTGGACTTACTGTATAACATGAATTACACAAGCAAACCATATTAGTGCAATGTTTTAACTTTAGTATAATGCTAACAAAATTGCGAAATTGTATATTTGAGTTCGATTATTTCTTTACAAGTAATTGAAGTCTATCAACATGATGTAATATTTTACTTTCTGCTTGTTCATATACTCTTTATTTCAATATTAAAACTAAGATCAAAAGATTTCTGTATACATGAATGGGGTTAAAATACAATGGACTTTCTTTATTTTTATCTATCTATATACATGTGTCTATCTATTTATTAATTAATATATAAATAAAATTTATTTATTCATTTGCTTGTTGATCAATTTATTTATTTATAATAAAAAATCAAACGATTTAAGCTCCCGTAAAATTATATGAAAAAAATTTAGAATGTAGAATAACTTATGCCGTCTGGAGCATCTGGTTGATTTGAATTACTGTATAAAGGGTTAATTTCTCCCTTTCACACCTGCAAATAATTTTAACCCCGTTTTGAATTCGCCCATACACATTTCTATTTAAGAGATAATGCAGTGTTCTTTGAATTCTTTCTGTTTAAAATTCGCCCAATTGCAAAAATGGCGAAAGGGTCGAAAAATTAAACGGGGGCAAAAAATTCCCTGTATACAGTTTCACAATTAATATACTGAGTTATGATTCTGAGTTATGATACTGAGTTATGATTCTGAGTTATGGTACTGAGTTATGATTCTGAGTTATGATTCTGAGTTATGATACTGAGATATGATACTGAGCTATGATACTGAGTTATGATTCTGAGTTATTCTGAGTTATGATACTGAGTTATGATTCTGAGTTATGGTACTGCGTTATGATTCTGAGTTATGATACTGAGTTACGGTACTGAGTTATTATACTGAGTTATGATACTGAGTTATGATTCTTAGTTATGATACTGAGTTATGGTACTGAGTTATTATACTGAGCTATGATACTGAGCTATGATTCTGAGTTATGATTCTGAGTTATGATTCTGAGTTATGATTCTGAGTTATGATACT